TACATATATTTTCTCCCCTTCCCCTTGTTCCCTCTGACAGTCTTTATACAACGAAATCTGGAAACTGGTCTGATTAATTTTCATATGAGAAGGTGCTTTCAACACAGTACTCTGCAGTGGAACACATAGGAATTCAGGATACAGTTTCAGCAGTGTCTGATCTCTAAAATTATGTTATCCATGGTTCTAAGGGAAAAAAAACAACAACAACAAAACCCAAATCAAACAAAAAAATCCAAAAACCAACCAACCAACCAAAATCGAACAACAAAAATCCACAAAAAAAGCCCAAACCAAAAAGCCATACCCAAAAAAAGAAAAAAACCCCAAACCCAAAATTACTACTACCAGTACACCAGGCTTCACACTCATTCTGTGAACTGAATGCATTCTGTGTCACAGTAAACCTCAATCATAGCAACTTCCTTGAAGGATCTTAGGAATGAATTTGACTTAACACCTGCATGCAGACAATAATTGTACTACAGTTAGTCTGAAGCTGAAGGCATTCATTAGGGTTGTCTTATTATCTGGTTCTACTATCAGGTAAACTGTGGAAACACAGTAGGAAAAAAATTGCTTTTAAGGCTGTACAGCTCCTTCAGGTGCTGCTGCATAAACATATATTTCCATGATGCCAGCAATAAACAGCAGGTAAAGTGCATGCTGTTTAGTGCAAACACTGCACACTTACTCCCAGGATAGTTCAGTACTTGAATGCAATCAGCTAATGTACGAGAAACACATTGTTGACTCCACTGGAAAATGAAGTGGTGCTGCAGGACAGAGAAAACTACTGAGGGTTTGTAAACACAAAAGGTTTTTGATTTACATCTACTGTTAATCAGTTCAGCCTACCATGGAGATACACTTTGATTTCACATTGATCTTAAGTCTCACAGTCAAAGCAATGAGAAATGTTCTCCTGCCATCACCAGTTAGTTGGAAAATTCTGTCTTCATAGCGGATAATGACCTAATCTCACTCACTCACCATTTTAAACCAGTGATCTTCTTGGGAGACAGTGCCTTATGTTCATTTCATTGTTTGCAAAATCCCAAACAGCCTGCTCAACACCACAAATTAGGAACACAAATGAAGCCTGCTTTCTTCTCTGGCTTTTGAGTGAACAGTGATTTAATAACACTGAGTGCTTCCCAGGATAGCTACAGGTTATGTGAAAGGCTACATGTTCCAGCATGGTAAGTATGGCAAGAACTTTGTTCATTTAACATTCTACTGTAGAAATAAAAAGGGTCTCTGTTAAAGACAGAGCTTCTCTTAGAGATGGTATGAATAACAGAAATGCTGTAACATATTTTGCTCAGAAACAAGTAAAATTACCACTGTCCTCACCTTGCCTTCCCTAATCAAAACACAGATAGCCTGTACTAAAAAACAGCCTCCTCTACAGGAGAAAATTTAGACTCACAAATCTATTGGAATTCTTTGAAGGAGTCACAATTGACAGAGATCAGAAACTGCTGCTGTGAGATGAGAAGGGAGATCCTGTTACAGAAAACTGGCTAAAAGCTAGGCTGTTAAAAATGGCTGCTCATTGCTCTGAATGGATTTAGGTGACAGTGGAACCTTGCAGGGTTCCATGTTGGGGGTTTTGTACTTTTTCACATATTTATACCTCATCTACAAAAAGCTGGGATGAATGAAATGACAAAACTTACTGATGATAATTTACTTAGGACAATGTAGTGTACTAAAGGCAGCCACAAAAAGATGAAAAACAATGTCACAATATAGAAAAGTTTAAAACCATTAACAAAGTGAATTTTAGCATTAGTAAATATGAAATAATGCACACTTTGGATCCAGTCACTCTGGAGACATAACAGTTTAACAAAAACATTAACAAGGAGGCATCTGCAAAGAACAAAATGATAGGATTTAGTAGAGGTGGAACACAACAAAACGCAAAAATTCATTATACCACATGTGTTTCTGATCCTCTCAACAGATAAACTCTCATGTCTTCTGTTCTCCTACCTGCCAAAACCTTTATCTGTTCTACCAAGTCATAATGACTGAGAAACAATTACCTGCAGTGAGCAATATATTCCATTCAAAGAACAACTAGACTGGGATTCTTCAGAGCAGACAAAAAATAAAATAAAATAAAATAAAATAAGCAGAGAAAAAAACGCAATAGAGGAAGTACTTCAGAGATTTATATGATAACAAAGAGACAGATGGAGAGAATGGCCAGGAATAAATTTTTTTCCTGTCACTTCCAACATAACTGAGTAAGAGATCAAACACAGTTTTAGGAGGTAGTTTCAATATAAAAAGGTATTACTAGATAAATTTTTGTACAAGAGATCATACAGGAGAACTGGTTTTGTGTTAGGAGTCCGCAATTCCTAGACTGTTCTGAAAAGATTGTATTGAATGTTCATCATATCTTCTATGCTTTCTGAGTTACCTGATCCCAACTCCTACAAAGAAAGCTTGGACCTTTGAACTAACCCAAACTATTTAAAAGAAATCTTTCTAAGCCAGGTATTTCTTCCTTTATAGAATGATAGAACAGATATGTTCTCAAAAGACATTAACTACACTGCTTAGTGAGGTCCAACTGGTTCTTTATGGGTCAAATTTAGTTCACAAAATGTTTCTGGGCTCAATACATTTGCCTGAGCCAATCCAGGAAATAATTTCTTTCTGCCAACTCTGTCTAATAGAAAAATTGCTCTTTTGTAGCCTGCTGTGGTTAGAAAAGTGGCAGCTGTTGCTTTTGACCACAGGAAAAATTGCTGCTGCAATACACAGAAGAGGTTGTGCAGTCCATGGATCACACGAAAAGGGAAAAATGCTCCAAGTGTCCTGTCCGGTCTTTGCCATTGCTGAAGTGCTGGACCTGATACTTCAATCAAAGCACAGAGACACGCTATGACAATAAGTATGAAATATGAAAACTACGATAAAAGTTCTTCCTATTTCTTTGCCCTCTGATGTCACTTCTTTTTCTGCTTCTTCCCAGCCTCTGTTTCTCGTTGATTTTCTTCCTCATCAAGAAAAATGCCAGTGTTCAGAGTTTCTTTACAGTGATGGAAATCTAAAATTAAATCTTAAATATAAATTCTAGTTTTTCCAGAATCCACGTACATGTATTTTCCAATTCAAAACCGGATTTTGACATTTTCAAAGCAACGCTCCAGAATTCAAAAATCCTAGACAATGATTTTAGGACACTGAAATTATTTAAAACAGTGTATCTATTTTTATCCAGATTTTTTTTTTCCATTTCTAGGAAGATCCTCATAAAGTAAACAGACTACTGGCTTACTTAAGTAATCTAGACTGGCTTTACCCATCTATTTTATTGAACTGAATATGAATCTTTGAATCTTTTGGATTCGAATAGGAAAAATATTTAATTGGGAAAAGCCTCCTTCCCAAAATCTGTCTATTTTAAACAAAAGAATCAAACCTTAACATTATTTTATTTAATGTAAGGCATGATACTTGAAACTTGCTAAGAACTGTCATGTTTATCTCACATTAAGGTGCTTTTGGGAAAAATAGAAGCTGAGAACCTTTGCTATTCAACATTTCTGTGACCAATTCCTTAACTTTTGAAAGTTACAAAGTCACTATTACTCATTCAAGAATACTCTCTTCTTTGAAACAATTATTTGGGCAAACTGAAATAATGACTTGGAGAAAAAAATCACAATTAACAAAGTGCAGCAACCACTCCCCACTATACTTATTTCTACTTAAAAAGGAGGTATCTTCAATGTCCAAATGCAAACCGCGAACAGAGATAGACCTTTTAATTTTTATCTAAAGACAAAAAACTTCCATACTCCTTTTCCTTGCCTTGCCTTCTTTTGATGGAAAAATCTGTAGGGTAAACAAAGACAGTCACAAAATATGGAAAACAGTGAAAATGACTATACAAAAAAAGGAATGTAAACCTGTATTAGGAAAAGAATATAGATGTGCACTTTATTCAGCACCAGAAAATAGGTCAATCAATTTTCAACAGCAGAAGCCTTATAAAAAGAAAATATTCTGGATCTTACTTTCTATCTGCTAACACCCCTCAATCCTCATTTGATGTGAACAAAGGCTGTGAAATAGAACAAAACCAGTACATTTTATGCAGTAAGTACACAACTATCATTTCTCAAAAGTCCTCACAAGGTAACTATCTTTTTCATTTTACACTCAAATTCAGCTTCATTCTCATTACCACAACATATTCTCACTGTGACCCTCACACTATTTCCATTTTTCCTTTCAAATCTGGTCTTTTGGAGAAATTGAGAGGCGAGTGTAAAAGCAATGATGCTCATTTCTCTGGTCCATCTAGAACTGACTACAAGCCTTCTTCCACGCTGCTTTTCTGGGGTCCATTTAGTGCTCGTGTTCATTACAGAGAAAATAAGTAATGCCCTATTTTAAAGCCTTTCGATAGTATACTGGTACTCATCTCACCCTTCATACAACGTGTAATAGTGATACCCCTTTCTGTAGAGCTACTATGAACACACTGTCAGTCTCTCTTCACACACACCTTGCTGCAGTCCCGCTGCTACAGTCTTCTCCTTCACTCCATTGTCTTCTTGCCCATTTCTCCCGCAGTACGTGTGCCACTCAGTGCAAGGATTACCAGGCGGACACCTCGTCTCGCCCGCCCTGCCCACCTGGAAGCCCTTCAGGACGGAGCTCATGCCAGCGAGGGCGGACTGCGGGAAACGCGCCAGGAGCTGAGGCAATGAACCCCACAGGTTTCCTGCCCCATTGTGTGTGTGCCCGTCCGCCCTCAGCGCGCCCCGCCCGCTCCGCTGCGGCTTCTCGCGGCCCGGGGGTCAGGCCCAGTTCCCAGGCCCGGCTCCTCGGGCGAGGGCTAGGGCTCTCCCGTCAGCCGCGGGAAGGTCCATGCTCCCATGGATTTCAGTCCGGCCAGGCGACCCCCACCCACTCCGGAGACCGCCCCCGTCCCGGGTCCCGCGGCACCACCCTCCCTGCGCCCCTACCTGCGAACCGCGCCCGCGCAAAGACACAGCATGGGCAGGGCGGCACGGTGGGCGGCGGGGGAGGAGGACACGGGGAAGGCGGATTCGAGGAGGAGGGGAAGAGGAGCAGAGGAGGAGAAGCAGAGGAGCAGAGGAGGAGAAGCAGAGGAAGAGGAGTAGGAAGGACTAGGAGTAGGAAGGACTAGGAGTAGGAAGGACTAGAGAAGGAAGAGGAGAGGAGAAGGAAGGACGGACAGGAGGAGGAAGAAACATAGGAAGGACCGGCTTCACTCCCGTCGCCCCCCCGCCCTCTGTCCACCGGCGAGCGCAGCCCTTAGCCCCGCTCCGCCGCCGCCCTGCGCATCCGCTTCCGCCACCGCCTCCTCCGGCCCCGCGTCCCTGCTCTCTGCCAGCCGCCGGCGGCGCGGACTCGCCGGCTCTCGCACGGTAAGAGAGATGCCTCGTTCCCGCGGGGGCGAGGGGGCTCCGCGCCGCCTCCCCGCACTCCCAGTGCGCAGAGCTCGGGGGCGGGGGGGGGGAAGATCGGACCCCGGGCGGTGCGGCCGCGGTCCCCGCGGTGCCGGGCGGTGCAGGGCTGTCCTTGGAGCCCGAGCGAGCGGCCCTGGGCCGGGGGAGAACGCGGAGGTGGGCGGGGGGTGGGAGCGCGGCTCCCCTCCGAGGCCGCGGGGGCGCGCCCGGGCGCTGGAACCCGCGCTGCCCCTTCGGGGGGAAGCTGGTCGGGGACCCCCGGTGCCCCCCGGCCGTGCTCCCCCGGTGCCCCCGGCCGTGCTCCCCCGGTGCCCCCCGGCCGTGCTCCCCCGGTGCCCCCCGGCCGTGCTCCCCCGGTGCCCCCGGCCGTGCTCCCCCGGCCCTCCTGGCTCTCCCCGTCCCCACGCCGGGATTTGCGTGGCGTGGGTTTGGCCGCACACCGATTCGCTTTCGCGTTGTGGGGAGAAAATAATGGAGCGAGGGGCTGACCCTGGTCTTACCATTCATTTAATGCTCACTTTTAAACCTGCTTTGCTCCGATAGCTGGACAGGGTTGTACCCTTTCAAATCAAAAGGATTTAAGGAAAAATGACTTGGAAAGTTTTAACTAAAATTGTCCTCGAGGTTATGTAACTCCTAGCTGATGCTAAATGGAAATCAGACTGAGCCAGTAGTGTCTCTAATCACAAGTGTGTACTGAGGTCACAGTGTTCCACTTCTTTGTCCAAAGTGATAATGAACTGTTCCGTAGCACCATGTCACACCACAGAACATCTTTTATTAAAGTATAACACCCACATCACACCAAAGAAGGAACACCTTTTATTCAAGTATAACACCATGTCACACCAGAGAACATCTTTTATTAAAGTATAACACCCATGTCACACCAAAGAACGAACACCTTTTATTCAAGTATAACACCATGTAACACCAGAGAACATCTTTGATTAAAGTATAACACCCATGTCACACCAAAGAACAAACACCTTTTATTGAAGTATATTTCTTTATATTATTATATTTATCACTGTGGCTTTTTAATTGGTTTTGACCTCAGCACATGCTCCTTCTTGCAAGTGCATGTGTCTTAGAAATAAAAGTAAAACCATAAAAGAACTCCCTATAAATGAAAAATAAGTCACTAAATTAATTTAACCTTGGTGATGGGCCATGCACTTGAGAGTTGGACTTGATGATCTTTGTGCGTCCCTTCTGTGATTCTGATTCAACTTTCTTGCAGTAATGAATCAGAGGAAATATGTACTTTTTTGATGATAGTTAGGCTAGATAATCGTAGCAGTTTTCCCTAATCCATGTTATTGGGCTTTTAAGGTTTTGTGTATTGTATGTACTTGTTACTGAGGTCACTAGGAGACTGGAATACTGTAGGAATTAATTTTCTGAAATAAGAGATCCTGTTGTTTTTAAGACATAGGAGAAACTGAATCAATTTCAATATGTCATCAGTCAAGCGCTTGGTTTATGCCGTCATCCATTTCTTGAGACAGCAGAGTCAGATGGATACTTTTACTCCAGATGAACAAGAAAGCTTGGAAGGTAAGCGATAAAGATGCTGATATATATATATATACATATGTATATATATGTGTGTATATATATATGTATATATACAGGTGTTACATTGCTTTATATATAATATCACAGAAAGTAACTGGAGTGACTAACTAAAACTGCCATCTAATATTATCTGTGAATAAGATCATGATCTTAATGTTTCTGAGATTATTAATTTTAGGACATCTTCAACTTAAAAAATATTCTAAAGTTACATGTGTACTACCTTAATTTTGAGAAACACACTTTGAATCACATCAATTGTAGAGGTCTTTTTCTAACCTCAACAATTCTAGATTCTAAATTAAGCAGTGCTGTAATGCAGACCCTAGTAATAACTTGTGTATATGTCCCACAAATTTTTACCTGCTGATTATTTTTCTCTTTTATATTTGGGTTCTTTCTGCGTTTTATATCTCTTAGTAGCTCTGCTTGCCACCGAGGAAGTAAAACAATTATCATACGTTGGGTTTGGTTTATGGGAAGAACTCCTGTTTGGTACTTGCCAGAATTCCACGTAATTTACAAGGGAAGGCTAAGACATCCTAAGAACATGGAAAATAAAATAAATGCTTTGAGGTTTTTTTTCACTTCAGTAGTGGTTCCAAAGAGCACATGGTAGTAAGTATTTTCAGTATAACTTCTGTTATACACCCAAGTTCATCTGTCTGCGTACATAGCTGTGGACAGATAGCCTTTATTGATAGGCAGTCATTAAGTCTTTGTAACTTCATGATGTCTGCCTTCCTCCTTCACACTGCTCTTATTCCTTTTTCCTAATTTCTTGATACTTCATGTCAGGTGGTATCACAATTTGGAATTAAGAAAGAAAGAATCAGATGCATTTCATAGCATCTTTTTAAAAGACCTCTGCACTGTTTCAAGCAGTCTTTGGTCATTCAACCAGAGGAGGAATTTGGAGGTAAGAGGGAGAAGTCTAGGACCAGCAGTGCAGTAAGTAATTTCAGGCAGTAGGTTACTAAATTCTGTGAAATCTGAGGTGTGGAGAGACTTTGCTGAGGTACAAAGCAAGTCCTGCTTCTTAGAAGCGTAAACTTAAAAGATAAACCTGGATGTGGTTCATTCTAGTGTCTCTTGGTTTTACAGTGTGGTTGTTCACCAAAGTAAATAAGAAAGAAACCTTTGTGTCATTCTATTCAAAGGATAGTTCCGAAGGAATAAAAGCTAAAAGATTTGGTTTTATATAATAATCTGGAGTATTTTGTACATTTGAAAAGTAGTAGCCATCAAATGAATTTAACCTGTATCAGATTATGATGATATTCAGCTGATGAAAGAAAACGTTTTTGAAGATCATATATAATGAGAGATGAAGAGTATTCCTTTTGTTTTTATAATGAAACTGATAAACATTGGGTTATGATTGAAATTTTACCTGATAACATGTCTTAGAGCAACCTTAACCAATGTCTATATGAAGGAATCAACTTTTAAGATTCAGTTTTCTAAATAAAAAATATTATAAAACCTCAGTTGTGCTTAAATACTGATGCAAAATTTAGCAATTTAATGCAGATCTGAAATCCTAATTTTAGAACTCTGTGCTGCCACAAGCGCAGTACCATATGCTATGTGTTAGAGGGTAGGAGGCGGGCATTCGGAAAAATTGACTCAGTTGTGCAAAATATCTTTAGTACATGTAGAGCAGCAGTAGCCCAAGTCCTACCCATTGAAGTATTTAATGTTAGATGGAGACATAAGGGATCAAAAAACTTGACTGATAGTTTTTGTCGGTACTTTATGTCTGTGAAAAGATAAAACACTGACTGATTAAGTGACTGCCAAGAAGTAAGTCAAACAGTTCCCATTTCCCATAAAACAACAAAAAGAGCCAGAAGATTGCAAATAAAATTGAGACCTTCTGAAAATACAAGTCTAGAGTGCATTCACACTCCATTTTTGTTGATAACCTTCATTCTGCTTGTGTGAGTTATATAGGGATGTCAATGACAGTGTAAATTTCCTCAAGGAATTTTGTACTTGCTTGATGAATAAAAATGCCTTATTTTGAGAAGCAGAGTAATTGGAAGGTAGACCAGAGAAACATAATACCCTAGGATCTAGAGCAGTGATACAGGTCTTTTGGTGGTTAGTGCTCAACTATTTTGTATGATCTAGAAATTTCACTTCTTCTAAGTTATATTTTAGACCATGTTTAAATGGCAGTTACTCCCCCCTCCCTCCCCTCCCTTCTTTCTTTCACAGCACCGATTTCTGTGGACTTAAGACAAAATATCTACAACATGCACAAGGCTGTGATTTATTTTTTTTTCTTACTTCTATGATCAATGTACCACAAGTAATTTCTTTAAGGCAGTGTTTCCAAAACAGGAGGGCAGGTGATGCATACAATACTTGACACAGGGAAGGTTATATGCAAGATGAAGAAGGATGGTAATGAGTACTAAAGGGGCCTCAGCAGCCCAATTCATGCGCATTATTCAGCGATCAACAGCCTGCATGTTGGCTCTCATGCCTTCATGTTGCTTGCAATTTGTATTAGGGTGGCAAAAAATCCTGGAGCTATGTGGCATTGGGAATACAGAGCTAGGCTCCAGCATAGCCCAGTTGCTCCTATTGTCAGATAGTGGGTGTGTCTGTGAGTCCCAGCCGTTCAGCAGGGACCTGTTTGGATTTGCACGGTGGTCAGTTCAAGCTGAGGCCTCTGAAAGTGTGTGTGATGTTGGAGCTGATCAGGAGAACAGATAACTTTGGCCTTTGAAATCAGACACAGGAAAAGATGAATAGCTCACATAGTGTATCAGGTCTTCCCAACTCACTGATAATATTGAACTTGCAGCAGTGGATGGTGCTTGCTTTGATAACGGGGGTAGCATGACCTCCTGAGGTACTTCTCTAGTGAAAACAAGTCTTCACTCCTTTGACTTTACTGGGGTCAGGTTTTCATGTAACATTAAAGTAGAGTAGTTATAGGTCTTGTCACAACCTATTACATCTTCTGATTTGGAAAAGTGTCTGTTTTGGCAGTGTTTATTTTTATGTGGGTTTCTGTTGTTGGCTTGGATGTTAACCAGTTGTTATTATTCTAACCTATGGATTCATCCCATAAGAGCTCCTAATTTTATTACACACATCATAGATAGATTAGAAGGAATAAAAATTCCATTTTTCACTTAAAGGAGAAATATGGGAGTTCACTGTAACAACTGATTATTTAATGGAAATGCTGAGTAATAATACTATACTCAGAATTGTTTTGTTTACGCATAATTTGCACTGCTGCATTTTGCAAAACTCTCCTATATCATAGAGATTTGGTGTCACTAACTTAATGCTTTGAGAAAGATAAGGGAGGAGGTTGTATCTTAAATTTATGCAAAACTACAGATTGTATAAGGCATTCTGAAAAGGGAGTGCCTTTAGGTAAAAATAAGTTGGTGAGGAAGACTGGTAAGTAAACTGTTGCAAGAGGCTTCCTATTAAGTCATATAAGGAAAAAAGAGATGTGTAATTCCACTGATTTTATGATAGGCCTGGTAATAAGTACTATTAATATGTAATTCAGAATCCGGCATATATCAGTGTTTACTATACAAAGAACTAAATTTTTCTACATAGCAGGAGACAAAGAAGTTTAACCCAAATCCTTCAGCACTCTTACTGGGTAATTTAGAACCTGACAAATTGATAAATTTTTAAGAGGAGCAACTTGCATGCATATTTAGCAGTGTATTCAATTGTTACATGTTATCAACCTTAACTTTTTATCATACTTTACTTTTTTGTGAATGATTTCTATTTTATGTTGCCCTTTTTTTTAAAAATTACATCTTCCAGGTTTTACTATCTGTTTCACAAATCTACTTCCCCCACCCTTTCTGCCAGCTGTGACATAGAAAACAGGCTCCTCAAACTGGCCTTACTGTTGTTAACTTTCAGAAATTTTACTTTACTAGTTTTGGGTTAGTGTTCAGGTTTATTATGATGAAACTAAGAATTCAAAATATATTTGTTATATTAACATTGACCTGAAGGTCAGTTTAAATACTAAGAATCTGTTTTTACTGATACCTAATTTGAATTCAGATACTCCTGGTTGTCTGTCTTGTATATCTTGACTTAAAAAAAGCTGTTTTTCTGTTCAAAATAGGCTTTACAAAGACTCTTCTTTGTTCCTCCTCACTTTTAAGTCTAAAACATTTAGATTATATACCTTAATAAAAGCAGTCTACTAGATTCTTAAGATTATAGGGAAAATAATTATATAAGTCACAGTAGTGTCAATAACAGAATGTATATATCTCTCTCCAGACTTGTATACAGTAATTGCTACTGATCTTCTTTTGCCTAAAAATATGCGAGCACATTTAAAACTTTAGTTAGGTATATGGCTCTCCTTTTTTTAGAATTGCCTACTGTAAGTGCATTTGCATTATTGCAGGTTTGGGAGGGCCATTTAATCCTTACACAACTGAACATGTGAAAGGATACTGCATATATATTTTTAATAGAATAAAGGTTTGTGATTAATGCAGCATTTTATTAATAAACAGTGTCTTCAAATGAATATATTTTGTTACAAAAAAAAGATAAGAATAACAAGTATCTTGCCTTTATTCTTTACAGTAAAGGTGAGCAGTTTCCTTCCAGCTGTTATGCCACTCAGATATGTGGTAGTTGTGATGTTTTGAGGTGGGGTGTGTGGCACATGCACATGCATAGTTGTATTATGAGCTTGTATTTTGTGCTTTTGTTAAATCCTTATATTTTTATATTTTAAAAAAAGGCTTTAAATGACTCACAGAACTGAAATAAAATTTTTAAATTGCTTGAAAAATAATGGCCAAACTATCTATGGATTGTGTATATCTTAGATATTTTTCAGCAAGCCAATTTTATGGGGATCAGGTAGCCTCTCTATTTTATGATTTATTCCAAAGAGCTGCTTTTACTAGCTGAATAAGGAAGTGAGTCACAGCTTTATAAATAAATTAGTGAAGTTATGCTTCTTTTGAGAAAATGGTGATTTTTTTTTTTTCCTTTTAAGTTGCAATTCAGTGTCTGGAGACTGTGTTTAAGATTAACCTGGAAGATACTCATCTTGCACCCCCACAGCATTTGATAGAAATGTTCACAAACTCTATTCACAAGGTAAGAGTTTCATTTAGATTCTAGAGTTACTCTGCCAATATGTGCTAAGGTTTCATATTGAATGCACAATCTTTAAGTGCTCTATAGGTCAAAATGATGTGATAACTTAAAGGAAAACATGAGAAAAGTTAATTTTCTATAAGAGGCTAACATTATGAGAATCTTTTGGGGCAGTGGGAGGAATTAATTTCAGCTAGACAAGGACAATTCCAGAAAATTACTCAATAGTGGATGTCTCATTCTCATTTCAAGGTTTTTATCCTTCAGTTAAGCATTTTGCAATTCCCAGAGATAAATATCTGATGTGTGTTATTGATAGTCTTTTGACGCTTCTCACTCCTTTCTGGAAGTAATTTAATTGCTCAATTTTGAACACTAACCTTAAAATGGGAACTTCAAAAGTGTGTACTAATAATACATATTATCTGAGATCCCAAGTACAGGAACCATCAGAATGGTAAACAGGAAAGTCAGAGTTAAGAAAACAAGACTGAAGAGATACCAGCTATCTTCTCCTTGATTTCCTTAAAACACATGGTGAGCCATAAGGTTTTTTCAGTAGCAGAAAGCAAGCTATCTTTTTCTTCTAAGGATGTGTTAGTGATGTTTAATTCTTTCACACTTCCTGTACACTACAGAAAATCTGGTTGTTTGTTGACACAATGCTGCCCAGAAATTTTTAATAAAATTGGGGTTTATATTTTAATGCAAAAAAACCCTTGTTTTTTTTCCCATACAGAATGACATGCTGCCTCTCTCAGGTTCTTTACCAGAGAATGTTGTAAAGGCTGACCAACTGAAGGATGAAGGTTTGTAATGAACTTAGAAATAAACTGTCTTATGCTCTTATTATATTTTTGGGTTATCATGGGTAGTGATAGTATAGCAGCTGGGCAACACACACCCCACGAAAAACTTCAGTTTATATTCTCTGGTGACTGTTATGTTGTATGAGGTCTAATTGATTGCTCCATCTGGGAGCAAAGAAAATATTGTTTATTCTCTCCCTGCTCTGGAGGTTGCTTAAAAAGTAAGGGATAACATGTGAATTTGGCAGAAGCTTTAAAGAATGAACAGCTATTTTTTGGCATATTATAGATTTCTCTGTTTGTCCATGGAATTGTTCTTCAAGTTTCTACTTATATTGAAATGGTTATGTGATGGTAAAGAGCTTACGCCAATGCAAAAATTCTTGTGAACTTACTGGGGTTAGTATTTCACATATGTGAAATCATTTGTGTGCTTTATAATCACAGACAAGCCAGTTGTTTATTTTCCCTTTCACAGCTGTTATTGCTGTTCTGTGAGGAAACGCAGCTGTACCACAGAAGTCTTTACTAATACCACCTAAGAAAGCATCCGTGTTATTTCCCTTCAAAAAAGAAGAGAGGGGAGGGGAAAAAAGCAGGTAGCCCTGAAAAGTGTTAGGAATTGCTATGGATTGAAGCTTTATAAATCACGTTTTTTGTAACCTGTTGAATTTTCAGATAGTTGAGTTTTATAGGAAAAAATAAATAAATGTCAATTACAAGGCAGATGTAACTCTCTCAAAAGTTGCAGGACAATAATGTGGAAAAAGTTCTGCTGTTTTTGACAGTGAGTAAAATGAGTTCCATGTCTGTCTTATCTTAAAACTGGTCATCTGTAGTCATGAATGCAGTCCATTACTGGCTCTGAAAGTAAGTTTTCCTAATTCTTGAAGTTGCTCATTAGCTCTTTAATTCGAAGGGTAAAGAGCTCAAACATGGTCGGGTCACAAGTGAAAATTTGTTTGTAAGTCATAACATACCTGTGGTGCATGCTAGCTTTTCATTTTGCTGTCTGTTTCTGTCAGCTCATGAAAAGTGAAGAACACTTGTAGCTATCAGTATGGTTATTGGACTGTAGGGATGGTCAGCACTTTCCAGATGTTCCAGCTATTTTAAATCCATGTCTTTGTATGGTTTTACAAAAGGAATTCCATGGCTCTACTGAGAAAATTGAAAGTGTCTAAATTTTGATGGACCATTTCAAGTGTTAGCTGTCAAGGGCATTAGTGAGCAGTTTAGAACTGCTTGAAATGCCTCTGGTTAATTTCCTGTAATAAAATTAAAACTTACTGCTTTCTAATGGTGCATTTTCATATGCATATTGACCACTATCATGCTTTTCAGTGAGTAGTATTTTTGGCCCTGAATTACGGAAATGAACTAGGTAACTTGAGGAAGTCCATTTGACCTGTATCTTCTATAATACTGTAATTCTATAACTCTGATTTCCTCATATTATCTGTATGTCGTTACTAATGGAATAACTTCCCTCATCTTTGTGGCCATCAGCCTGCTCCTCCTCTGCTCCGAAAACTCAGCCCTAATACTTGTAGAAGTTAACTAATGAATAGCAAAACAAAATCGGATAGCCAAATTGTCTTTCTGGGTCATTAGAAAACCAGAACATAATGTACCCTTCAGACTAGTAAATACTTGAATTTACTTGCCTACACTTGCATATCACTTGACACTTTGGCTTAATGTAACCTGTGTAAGAGCACAGATTGTACAGGTTTGTATAGTGTAATGATGGTCTCATCCTAAAAAGATCTGTGTATTACCACAGCATAAATTATAACAATAAGTAGTATTTTCCCTGTAGAGGACACATGTTCAGAAAGTATAACCATTTGTGGGGTTTTTTGGTCTTAAGAGTTTTTGTATGATGTTAAAATAGAATAATACAGTTGCTTTTCCTTATCTCAGCAGAGTTAGTAGGTCCAGCTATTTTTATGTTTTCCTTTAGCCAAGTTGGAGCAGGAAAGAGAGAGAGCGCGAAAAGTATGCTCTGATATTAGATCAAATTTAGCTCTGTACCACAGGTCATCTTTAGTTCAGAGCAGTATCATCAATTCTGACGTTCATGGTCACTGATGGCAGTTTTGTTTTAAAGGAACATTAACTGTTGCAATTTTGTTGAGTGCAGCTAACTTACAAATTTTTTATCTGACAATTGGATTTAGTGTACAGATCTTTACCTTAGAACAAAGGAAAGCTGTGTAGATAGTGGGCCTCTAGAAATTAGAAAGATATTGTTACATTCTGTATGTATTTGAAGGGTATACATGCAATTACAGTTTGTTTGCCTTCTCGCTGGAAGGGATTGGTGACTATAGTTACGATAAGAATAGCACTATTGGGAAGAGATAATTTTGTACTACCTTGATGACACTTAGTGACTTTAATCTGGTTTTTTTTATTAAGTTCTCCATGTTTAAAAAGAAACTCAAAACCAGTTGTTTTCAGTTAGTACGAACACTTAGGACTGCTTGCTCCACAGTCTTTTGCTTTCTGTCAGAGACTCAGTTGCACTGACTGAACTTTTCCAGCCTTTGCTTTTGCCGTTATCTGCATCAGTAGTAACCTACTGACCTGTTCCTTCTCCTGTTTGTTTTAGGATAAGGTTCAAATATTTTCCCAAAATACAAGGAAGTCAGTGGAAGTCTATAGTTTTCCTGATGATTTCTTGACATTTCTGGGAAACCAAGGCTTCTGTAGGATCTAGCAGGCCAAAAATCGATAATTGCAGGACCCAGGGACAATCATAAACTGAGGCACTCAGAACTAGGATTTTTACTTTACTTCTATGTCATTAGGAAAGACAGAAACTAGAAAGACTGCCCTGTGTTGGGGACAAAAGAATGTGTAAAGTGTCTTTTGTTTTGAAAGAGATTACTGCAGAATTTTCTGTCTGTAGAGAAGTTATATAAATGTTTCTGGGGTTTTTTTTCTGATGGACTTAAAAAGTAGGAAATGTGAAACTTTGTTTTAGAGTAGAAGTTCTGAGCTTTGTTGGTTAGAAATTTTACCTTTGAGTCATTTTAGATTGCTGGTGCTATACATACTTTTCATTATCTTATTCAATTAACTACATAGTATCACAAAAGTGGGACTTATGTGCTTAGTTTTGCTGTTGTTTGATTTTTCATGTTATATAGGTACAAGCAAGTTTTTGGGACGTATAAGAAAATGAAATTAAGAAATTAATGTAGCCTACTGGATTATGAATGTAGCCTACTGGATTATGAGGCTTGCAAAGACAGTTAAGACTGAGTCTATACTAGAGTAGAACTGCAATTACAGTTACAGTTCTCAATGAAGTGATCTTTGCTTAACAGCAGAAACTAACTGGAAAGTGTGAAATACCAAATGAGAAGAGGATGGTTTATGTGGTGGACTACAGTGTACATAATAAGCTTTACAGACATAGATATTTTTATTTCATTATTCCCTGCCAATTCTGTTTAAGAGAATGTATCTCAAAAAAGGGCAGTCATAATTCCCTTATATAAATAATGTAAGGTAGCTGCTCTATTTGTTTCATACAGAGCACCATATCTTCTAACTATTTAAGAGCTTTTTGTAATTTATTTCAGGTAATAATCATATGAAAGAAGAAAATTATGGTGCTGCAGTGGATTGTTACACTAGGGCTATACAACTGGATCCAAACAATGCAGTCTATTACTGCAACAGGTAAAATCAAAATGATACACACCTTTCATTCCTGAACTTGATTAACATTATTTTAAAGATAAATTGTGAAGTAGGTCAAAGCAACACAGGGCTAGAAAACTTCAGTATTCAGAATTTATTTGGTTAGATTTGAAAAATATCTGAAGTTAGAGTTCATTCAGCATCTCTGTATCAGTTAAAGGTGTAATATGGGCTTTAAAATGCCTGGTAACGTTTTTGAGATCAGGTTTTGTGAGTTAGGTTGTCTACATTAAATCATAGCATAGGCTGTGATTTCCAGTCTGTTGAGAGTAGTAAAAGCCTTTTTTTTTTTTTCTGGTGGTGTAGTGACTCATGTGCCATCTTGTATCTCCCCTAGTGCTGGCTTTCCCTGAGGAAAAAAATCATCAGTGTGGGAATACCATGAGATTTCATGCATTTTATAAATATTCAGCATTTTAATGTGTGACCTGCTGAAAAATAACAGTGCTGCTTTTGTGGTTTCGTTATAAAATCTGTTCTTCACCATAGTGAAGACGTAGTGATTCAGCAGCAGATGAGCCTGGCAGTGCATGTTAACCCAGTTGCAGCAGTACGTTTCTGCTGCCTGGAAGACCAGCCTAAGAGCAAAGGCAGTCTCATCTGTGAGCCCTGCTGGAATGAGCCTCCTTCCAGAGTACCTCCATTATTAATTTAAGGATTTAGGATATATTAACTTAAGTGCTGTCAATCTGACCTTGTGGCAGTGTACCCAGTGAAATATTCTAGTTTAAGAGCAGTGTTTCCATTACTCCAGAATTTAGTTTGTGATAAATAAAAATGAAAGATTCAGTGTTTTGAGGCAAATGTAAAGGGAAAGGAAATGTGTGGTTTGTTAATATTTTACATACTTAAGATAGCAGTTCAAAGTGTAAATCATCTATTTTCCTTGGGAAAACTCATCACATTAGTGAATCCAGGTATAAAATGGAAATTAAGACCAGATTGAAAAGCTTCCCAAAATCTCTGGGAGTTTCCTTAGGAGAATGGGCTTAAGCACCAAATCTGTAATTGGCAAAAGTAGAAATACTTTACTCTGTGTGTTTCATCATCACCTATCACATTTGTGAGGACCAAAATGAGTCTTGATGTTGATCAGCACAGTGTTGTATGTAATTACTTAAAAGAAAACATAAGATGCTTGGAATTTTGTGGGTGATGTGGTACTTGCGTAAATATAGGCCTTATCTTTCTTGACCTTCTTTGGGAGCCATGGAGACATACTGCCTTCAATGGTATTTCTTTTTACTCACAGCAGTGAGAAAAAGAAAGCTGAGATACCCTTGAAATTTTAACTGGCCGTATAATTTTTTTTGTGAATATGGAAAAAACATTTTCTGTTCAAACACATGCAAGATTAAGTACTGTACCATTTTATTTGTAAATCTCCACTGGCATCTGTGGAGTGTGACAAATGTTAAACAGTCCAAATATTTAAAATAGTTGAGTAGTCCCATTTTGAAGACATTTTAATCCAAGTCAGAAAAAATCGTGCAGTTTGGAGGTGATCGCAGGAGAAAGGAATCCTAGTAAAAAAGAAAAAGGCTTTATTTCTACTATAGTATTTTAAACCAAGAAAGAACAAATTTGAGACCTTTCAGACTGGGGAAGTTTTGGTTATTAATGTGTCCTTTTTAATTTGGCCAAGTCTTTAATCTTATTATATTAACATCTGCAACATTCAGTATTTCTCCAGTACAGAAATGCAATTGTAATTTAGTAATTCAGAAGTTATTGAGAAATGGTATTCTGAGTTACCTGCAAGCATGAGTTGACTTCTAAAAAAACTGAGCAGGGAAAAATCACAGCATTCCTTCGAATACCTGTAAAACTATACTTCTTGCTGGAAAATGCCAATTTTATACAATACTTTTCCTTAAACAAGGATTTTATGTAAAGTATTACTTGAGAGTTTCACTTCTTGTAATAGGTTTTATGATTTATTTTGTGCATAGTCATCTACTGGATCTAAAACTGTTCCTTAGAATTATTTGTCCTATGTGTCCTCAAAGGTGAGTGCGTGTTCTCCAAAACCATAGTCTAGCAATGCACTTACACACATAACATTTGCTCACTCTACTTAATTGAGGAAAGGTAAGGATTGTCTAAATAGTGAATGAAAAGTCAGTTAAGACTAACATGTGAGTGTCTAAGCTTGGGATTTTTTCTTTTATTGTTGGTTTGGGGTTTTTTTTGACAAAGCTCTCTCCTTTCCTTACCATCTTTTTCTTAGGGCTGCTGCTCACAGTAAGCTCAGCAACTACAGGGAAGCAATAAAGGACTGTGAGAATGCTATAGCAATAGATCCAAAGTACAGCAAAGCATATGGAAGAATGGGGTAAGCTAATACAAATCTGGGTAAACACTAAAACCCCACATGTAAATCACCATTGAGTTTCTGAAGGAAGTGGAGCCAGGTTGTTTTACTTAGCTGACATTCTTGTTCTGAAAGTCTAGCAATTTTCTGAGGATGACCCTATTAGGCTGTCAGCTCTTTTTATATATTTTTGATATCAGCATTTTTATCAGATTTCAATAGTTTTCAGTATTTTTCTTTCAATTTATCAACTTTGCAAGTTCAGTTTAGAAAGTCATGATGGGTTTTTTCTACCTTCAACCTAGTTATGAGTAATCAAAATCCTGCAGTTGGAATGGTGGATCTGCTAATGATGCTGCTAGAGAACAGCACTGGGACTTCTCACTACTAAGAATAGAGGCTTAATTTTTCTGTTCAATAGATCTTTGGATGCAAATATTTTAGCAAGACTAAGCTATGTCTCTTTGGTAGTTTTTCTCAGTAGTATCTGAGAGATTAACTGTATAGCCTCTTGAGGCAGTGAGTTATCTGAAAAGAATGTCAGGAATGCTCTGAATAGGCTGCTGACTTGAGTGAAGGGCCATTCTTCCAAGATGTGTAGCTTTTCTTTTTCAGTCATTGAACACACTGTGGTTGTGGGCTGAATGGTGCATATGGCTTTTAAGGTTTTTTCAATACCAGTAAATTAAAAAATGCTTAGGATTGTTTGTTGGGTAAGTTGGCACAAAATGGCTCATGTCCATGTTATTAAAATCTAGTTTGCAGTATGGAGTGGCCACATCCAAATGACCTATTACTAAACTGCATTGGTCTGTGTTAAATTCTGAACCATGCCCCAAAATTGTTTGCGATAATGCATGTTGACCTGGGACAAAACCATGCCAGGAACATTTATTTTAACATAAAATACGATGGAATTCTATCACTTGAAAACTTTCCATGATACAGTTTATTTTATTAATACAAACATAGACTAAGTAGCTTTTGAGATGATTAATTCATTTGGAAATTTTAGGCTGAATTGGTTGTTGAATTGGTTTTGTTCTATTCAATTCTCTTTAGATCGTTTCTTCATACAGCACAACCCAAGATCCCTTGACTTCAGTGATAGGGAGGGAAGCTACAGGCTGGATTAATTGGAGACTGGAGGTTATTTTAGAGTTTTGGGTGTAAGACTAGTGTTCCTTTGATACACAGTATAGGTGGGACCATTCTCAGGCAATCAAGCTTCTCTTTTTTGATTGTCTGTTTTAATAGAGGACATATTTTGAGCTACAAGTCACTGCTTAGCTCAGCAGATGAGTAAACATAGCATAAACATGGCATAGGCTGAATGATGTTTAGTAAACAAAACTCCCAAGTGCAGAAACCTTCTCAACTGAAGAAGATGTGTTTTCTGACAATATGATGCAGGCATATCAGTTTTTCTCAGGATTTGACAGAAATTCTTTATATGTCACAGAAAGATGCAGAAGTATTCAGAGATGGGAGCCATTTTAAAGTGGGAGTATCAATTTAAAGCGATACTTCCAGCATGACCCTGAAAAAGCACCTGTCTGGGTAGGAATTGTGACCAAAGAAATGTTTGCCTGCTGTTCTGACTTGTACTGTATTCCAAGAAACTCTCTCTGTAAAATGCTCTAAAATACTTTTTCTGTAAAAAGCACTATTGCATCACAGAAATAACGGATTGCACTTCTTGTCTGGTCAGAAACTATTTTGGCAAGTTAATGGGCCAAAAAGGGAGAATGTTTTTTATGAGGATAACTGTGTTGAGAAAGCAGACACTAATATTGTATGGGTTCCTCCAGGAGCAATACTGGAAACTCCTGGCGTTTCACACTTTTACTGAGAGTGATGGCTGTCACTGATGTGTTTAACATGTTGAACTTGCTTGCCTGAGACAAAAGACTAAGGTTTGTCATTGGGTAAGCACAGGCTTACCACCCCAGTCTTTCTAGCTCAGCACATATCAAAAGAGGGGACTAGAGTACTAAATAGCTGAATGTGGCTTACACAGATTTTTTACAAAAGGTGGAAAAGATCAGTTTAGGGTTTTGGTCAGTATAAACTGAAAATACAGTAGAGGATAGAATTGAAACCACAACCAGATGGACTTCTGGAATAGTTCAAAGAAAGATGTTTTAAATGTAGTAATCGAATTTGAAAACAATTCTGTTTTAAAAAGTAGATCTGTCCTGTATTCTCATGAACTGCTGGAGAAGAGTCTTTTTCAAAATATTAAGCAGGCTTCCCTGATACAAGGGTTTCTTACAGCATCTTATTACTATGCCATTTAACTTATTTGTCAACTGTTGAAGTCAACTGTTGAAGCCTTAAGGAGAACCTTTGCACTGATCCTGAGACAAAAATCTGTTATGCTGAAACTTGTGGGTCCACTATTTGTTTTCTTGAAGTTGCAGAAGTCATGTTAGTGATAATTACTGGACTATCTTTGCCCAACTTGCCCATGTACGTTTCTAAATAAACTCTTGGATCAAAAGGACTGGAAGAAACACTTGGAGGAATTACTGAGCTTATGCAAAAAGTCACAGATGCTGGATCCAGCTTGTACTCTCAAAATAGAGACTAAATCACTAGATGATGCCAAGGAATTTTTCATGAAACTTGCATATATATATGAAACAGACAATGCAAGATGAGTTCTTGAGGGATCATCTTTTCTGCAAAAACAAGTGCTTACACTAAGCAGTAGTACCACAGTAGCAAAACTTGTTTTAATTTAGTGATCAAGCTAAAAAATCAGTTGTGAGATACTGTTTCACTTAGAACGGAAAATGTATCATTATATTTTTTGATGGTCGTTTATGTTCTACCCAGGATTTCTTTACTTCACATTAGGTTGGCTCTGACCTCAGTGAATAAATATGAAGAAGCAGTTACCAGTTACCAAAAAGCACTGGATCTTGATCCAGAGAATGACTCTTATAAGTCAAATTTGAAAATAGCAGAACAGAAACTGAGAGACATGTCCAGTCCTGTAAGTTAGCTCTGCATCTCTTTATTTACAACAGTTTCAACTGGGAGTTTTTAGATAAACTTACCTTCGATTGCAATTTGTTTGTAGACTGGAACTGGATTGAGTTTTGACATGGCAAGCTTGATAAACAATCCTGCCTTCATTAGTATGGTGAGTATATCTCAAGCTTGACATTATCTTGTTTTTAAAAATGAATTTTTAAGAAAAGCTCTTGTTTAATGAGCCAAGCAGTTTTAATTACTATTATAGCAATGGTTGTATTACATAGAATTTCAACTTTTCTATGTAATTTTACACTTAAAACAAGAAGCGAAGTATAAATCTGCTGTAGTGCCTGTCTTATTTCCAATGGATTCTATCTTACAACATACATAGGTCAGCTGTGCTGTTTTTGTAGATGGTTTGATAGTAAAACACTTGTCGATGGCATGATGAAAATTTCTTCTATTCTTCACAAAGCAGTTAACAATGAATACAAGGACTAAAGTAACTCTTGGGGAGAACTACTTGAGACCTTTCTGTTCTTACTGTTTCAAATTATCCCTGACATCCTTAAGTGTTCAGACAACAAATATAAATAACATATAGTGCATTCCTTTACTTCCAGTACAATTTAGCTTTCTTAGCTAAATGGAATTAGTGAACTTTGTAGAATGGAATTTGGAGAAAACGAAATGCAACCTCCCTCCCCCACCCCCCCAAAAAAAACCCCAACCAACCAACTTACTTCCTTTGAGAACACAGTTAAAACTTTACCAGCCCTTAGGTAGCTTCACTGGAACAGGACATTGCAATCAATGCTTTTGTGTAGAAGTGCACTGTATTCAAAAAAGATCCATATATCTGGTGGTGTGGTTTCACAGCCACTCAGCAGCCAAGCCCCATGCAGCTGCTTGCTCACTCCCCCATCAGCAGGATCAAGGAGCAAATCAGAAGGGTGAAAGCTGGAAAATTTGTGCATCGAGATACAGAAAGTTTAATAGGGAAGGCAAACCCCTGCACATAAGCAAAGAAAACTGAGGAATTAATTCACTGCTTTCCATGGGCAGGCAGGTGTTCAGCCATCCCCAGGAGAGCTGGGCCCCATCATGTGTAATGGTTACTTGGGAGGACAAATGCCATCATTCCAAATGTACCCCCTTCCTCCTTCTTTCCCCCCAGCTTTATATACTGATCATGATGTCTGGAATATCCCTTTGGTCAGTTGGGGTTACCTGTCCTGGCTGTCTCTCTTCCCAACCCCCTCACTAGTGAGGCAGCACAAAAAACAGAAGAGGCCTTGGCTCTTTGTAAGCTCTGCTTAGCAATAACAAAATCATCTCCTTCTTATCAACCTCTGTGTTCAGCACAAATCCAAAGCACAGCCCCCTACTATGAAGAAAGTTAACTCTACCCCAGCCAAAACCAGCACCCATGGTCCAAATAATAGAAATGGTATGTAAGGAAGGAGTGAGTGAGTTCTCTGATGGCATTTGTGATGAAATTGCACTGGAACTCTGTGTACCACTTCACTGGTCACATGATGTACTCAGTCTGTGTCTGTTTAGAATCAAAATATACTCTTCAGTATGGAAATAACTTGGGGGAAAGGATGTTTTGCATCATTTGCAGAAGATGCCTGGTCACATGCCTAGAACATGGTGCATTTATTCAGGAATGAATGACTTATCTTCCTGACATGTAGTTATTTGTTTTGCTTTTAAGGGAAAAATTGCCTCACTGTCTGACTTAGAGGCTTGTAGTCTCCATTTGGGCCCCTAAGCTAGATCAGCCTTATTACTGATAGCAGAAACTAAACCAGAATTCTGTATTAACCATAGCATTCGCCTGAATTTGGCATTTTATATCCAACTGTTAACTAGAGAAAAAAGTTGATTTACTTTTGAGATATATCTATAAATGGCAATATATTGATCAATGAAATGAATACTGGATATATCTGGGGTTTGTAGTACCTTTAGTAAGACAGTGAATAAGAAGGTACTCTGTTGTGCCTGTTGGTGGTCTATTCATCCAGACACTGATTTCTGCAGGAATTATGTTACTAACATTAAAATATCACATTGTTTATTCTATAGCATCTGTCCATAGACACCTTTACACTATGGTAAACACAGTATAATTTTAGAGGTATCTTTGAATGAGAAATTTAAATAAGCTCATGTTTATTACAAAGTAGGAAGAGATACTATTACCACAGAAGATACATGTTACCACAAAACTGTGCACTGCTTACTCCACAATGTATTATGGCAATAATCTTAACTATTAATACCTAGTAATAATAATAGTTGCGAATTTAATTTATCCAGGCAGGAAAGCAGCAAAATACAAACTTTTCATCAAAAAGCCTAGTAGAAAATCTTTGTCCTTGAAAGTCTTCAATGCTTTGTTTGTTTCGGTTTTTTTAGTTTTCTGGTACTGGGGTTTTTATTTTTACTGGCTTCCTGTCATATTTTTCATGTCTGAATCTGTAACCACTATTTTTTAGCCAACATGTAACAAATTGTCTCAGCTTCATATCCTTGAAATACATTCCTGTAGTGATTCCTTTTGCAGAAGACATAAACTTAGCTTAATTTTGTAATAAAACAGAATACAGCATGTGGGGTTTTTTTGGTTTTTTTGTTCCCCACACTTTTCTAAGTGATACCTAAGTAGTAAATGGGTTATAATTTCAGCTATATGTTGTCTATTCTAGGCAGCAAGCTTAATGCAAAATCCTCAAGTTCAACAACTGTAAGTATTAAAATGGAGTGCAATTAAAACAAATGTCTTTAGAGGTTTGAATTAATAAGAGGAAAAGTGTATAGTACTGTATTCTGAAAAGGTAATTTTATTTTTACTTAGTGTAAATAAAACTACTGTAGTTTCTTCTGCTTGCAGCCTATTTCTTCCCAGCAATTCAAAAAAGAACTAGGGTTTACTGCTTACTATAAAGGTCCCTGCCCGCCTCAATGCCAACACTGTGCTAACTCTTCCAGGATGTCGGGGATGATGTCCAATGCTATTGGTGGCCCTGCTGCCGGGGTTGGTGGCCTGTCAGATTTGTCTAGCCTGATTCATGCGTAAGTAAGAACTGCATAGTTTTATCTGTTACAGTTGTAGTAGGATCACTGCAACATCTATTTAAAAGGGATAGTGTCAAGCCAATTATACTGTGGCCTAGTCCCACTGTATGCCTATTTGTTATTAAAACTGACAACTCTTAAGACTTGTTTCCCACAATTTTGTTTGTTTGCTTTGTACATTTCCATCAGTTAGAATGACTGAACTGCTCAGTTTTGCTATCTGGTTCTCATACACCGTTATCTTCTAATGCCACTTATTAAAAACATTCCTTTAAATCTTTAAGTACTCCTACATGTGCTTTCAAATTGTGTGGATAAACTGACTACCTGATATCCCAGACAATCATTAGAAAAGCTACAGATTTACTTAACACATCATAGGTTCTGCTCTGGCATCCCTCCATTTAGATGAGGAAGGTTTCAGAGAACACAGTAAGAGGAAGAGTACCTTTACAAAACCCAGAACCTAAGGCTTTTCTAGTACAGTGATGATAAAATCCATCTGGAAAGGTCTCCACAAAAGCATGCAGTTTGCTTATATGCCAAGTTCTCTTAAAGGAATACAATTTTACTTTATTTCAGCATTCTAGCACACTTCTAACTATTTTTAAGTTTTGCCCTTTCAGGGCAGTAGTAATTTATAATTTACATCACAGATAGGGATGTGCCACTGCAAAAACCAAATGCTATTTTCACAAAAAACACAGAGATATATGAAAATGGTGGCTTTTCTTCAACCTGCACTGTGGTTTAAAGTTGTCTTGATAATTTGCTGCTTGGGCAAAATGCAGAAATTACAGAGAAGCCAAGCCAGGCTATTTGTGAAGTAGTATTTTTTTACTTACTTGTTTTTTTCTAGTAAACCAGTGTTATACTTACCTTCTACATGGAGTTAATGTCACCTATTAATTTAACTCTTAAGCTACAACTGTTACAGAGATTACTGATATTACTTCAGTCATACAAGACATAAGGATGTAATAGTATGCTTACTTTCTACTAATGACATCTCGTTCACAAGTAGAAGCTGGCAGCTGCACACTGTATTTCTGGAAAGCTAACATAAGGTTGCACTTCAGCTCTAAGAGTAGTTATTTTAAACAATTAGAATAAATCCTCTCAAAAAGAAGGCAACAAATCACTGGAGCAGATGTGTTGTTTTACTGTGTAAGGTAATACTTTTTCCTCTATGTTATCAAGTAGAAGTGCTAAAGAATGAAAATAAATATTTCATGATAATCCTGTTTGGAGACACTTTAACCAGATAAAGTCATAATACTACAAATACCTTGATACTATAAATCAAGTCATCTTTAGTCGTAACTCCAATGTAATGCACTTTTCAGCTGTATCGGGATAGCCCGTTTTCTTACAAGTGCTGCTTTCACTTTCTGATTTCACTTCAACACAGGGGGCAGCAGTTTGCACAGCAGATACAGCAACAGAACCCTGAGCTCATAGAGCAACTGAGAAATCATATCCGGAGCAGATATTTGAGCGGGAGCACTGAAGAGCATTCCTGACTTCAAGGAGGCATGTGAATTGGAATGATATACAACCTGAGAATGCATACCATAGTTAGTAGCAAAAGCACCATTGTAACTCTTCTGCTTGAATAGAAGACAGAAAATTCTTTGTGTGTGTTTGCAAACAAGAATAAATCTGTTAAACAGATCTCTTGCACATAACTTGGAACATAGCGTTTATGTCTAGTTACTCCTCTGAAAATTAATACACTGAATAGGTGGTTTATTAAAATCCTCAAGTCCAAGTCATTTCAATATGTGCATTAGAATGATCTCCAGGGCTATTGAGGGGGAAGGAGTTTTGCAGTGGGCTGATCTTGCATAACAACTTAATTCTAAAATGCTGCTGTAAAAGGCACGTTATTCTTACAATGAGAATTATTCTTACAATGAGAACCATGATGGCTGTACTCTCTGTCAGATATTGAAATAACAGGCCCATTTGCTGTGCCCTTAGATCATACCTAACACTAATGCTTTAGAAGTCTGTTTCTTTAAGCCTGTAAAGGGGCCATCATGAGTAACATGTTTTTCAACTTTACTGGGCAGGAGGGAGAGAGATGATTCCATATGAAGGAGTACCAGAAATCATAGAGAAAGAGAAGACAATAATTCTGTGTAGGATAATACACAGAAATCAAAGTGAAACTTGGCTTGGGAAGGGAAAGTTTTAGGCAGTTTTAGGCTTTTCTACTGCCACATATACCCTCACATAATGATGGTAGCCCTGGAGGTCAGCATTACGGCACTATGTTCCTAGGCATGGCAAGCTGTATTACATTATGTATGCAGTATTTAGCATAAGCTTAAAATTCTTAACTGTTATAAGCTAAAACTGAGCCTGTGACTATACAAATAACTAGTACTGAAAATTTATTAAAAAAAGAACTGCCTTAGAAGGATTCTTTTTCTATTCCTGTGTGGTAAAGCACTGGCTTAAACAATTGGGGATTTTTTTTAAGTATAAGTACACATGAAATGATGGTTATATTGTCAGGATTTTTCCACTTAGTATTTCTCTTCCTAACCTGGCTTTTCTTGCTCAGTTAATCTTACTCTTTCAGAGACCACTGCTCTTCTGTACTTTTATGATGTTAACTTTTTTACTCTGCTTACTGTTAACATTGCTTTCTGTTTCAAACACTTGTTCTTACTCTAGGGAGGCTTCCTCTTTGTATATCCAAACCAATTTGAGGAGCCTGCTGTGATTTCTAAGACAAAGTGATCTTTGTTGGCCAGTTAGTCTGGAAGAAGGTATGTGGAAGAGTAACAGACTCCAAAATGGAGAAATACACAGGAACTCCTGAACCTCAGACTTTATATCTGATTGATCTTGTGCTCAAAAAAGAGTTCCTCAAGTAGAAGCAAATGGAGACAAGTAATGTACTTGATTCTAACAAATTACAAGTGTACATCTATGGCATGAGTCTTTATCTGCGAAACCAGGGAGAAAAGTGCAGCTGGATCCATTGAGAAATGAAAGGAATTGGAGAAAACACAAAACTAGGAAATCCATATTAGCATCTGTTGAATAAAGATGTAAAGCTTAATAGCTTTTTTAAGTTTCATACTTTATTGAATAGAGCTTGCCTATATACAGCATTATTTTTTTTTTTTAAATTCTCTCTTTAAGTTGGTGTAGGTGCTTTTTTTTGAGGCTGTGGAGATACTTAAGCTTTACATTAAATACATTTCCATGTAAGAGTTTATAACTTAACATCTGCTGACAAAAAAGAAAATCCCTAACAGGATCTTTTTTCAGAGGTAGCTCAGATCCCAAGAAAACTGTTAAAAGTTACATTTAGCAGGACAGGATACCATTTACAGAAAAGACTGATGGCTGCTGTAGGTGGGCTACATACACTGTACAAGTGTTTGTACATTACTTGGAGTAGTATGTTGTGTCAGGAGCGAAGCACTGCTCCTAGCATATATCCTCCTTAACTTCACAGTTCATCGTAGTTCTCTCTTTCATATCTTCAACGGCTCAAAAGTGTGTTTCACTAACTTTGATGGGGGAACCAATACATCCAAAGTGGACTGGACAGCACTGCCAGTATCTCTCCACAAACTCAATTTATCCTTACTTTGTGACAGCAATCTTGATGCAGTCAGTTACCTTTTTACTTTAAGACAGAAAGAATGTCAAGAACTTCTTGAGAGTTCCTTAAGAATGACAGACTATATTACTATTCAAAGAGTGGCCGTAGAAGTTATACTGTCAAGTACAAGTTCTGTAGCTCACTGGATTTATGGAAGAATAATCCCCAAGGTTAAATGGAATTAAGCATTGGTTAGTTACCTGGAAAACTACTCTTGAAATCACCTTCATAGAGTTGTAATATTTCACATGCTACAATACTGTCATGTTTAGGGTTTACTCCAGTAGAGATAATACAGAGTATTTATTAAAACGTTGATGGTATTAGCTAACCCTTCAGAAACGTGCTTTAACTGCCACAATTAAACATACTGCCACTAGTAAACAATCTTTGTTTTTTGTATATTAACAAAAAGGGCTTTATAGCCTAGACAAAAAACAGTGAAACCAGTAACAGGAGCTCTCATTACATGCTTTTCCATTGAATCCAGGAACAGAGAGAGCATTTATGCTAAAGTCTGCTTTTCCTTGAATAGGCTAGATTGTTTCTGTCATGCAACGTCTTAATCACAGGGTGAAGAAGGAATCTTTTCCTGTGTAGTAACTGCACTTTTCATCTTGCTAAACCACAATCCCTGTAAATTTCTTTAATTTAATTGCAGTTTATCATTTAACTGAGCAAATAAGGATTTACACCTAATTGGTTTTATATCAGCATATAAGAAAGAGAGGAAGATATTTTGCACTTAACTGTGAACTCCTGTAATCTGCTTGCGTGGGAGTATATTTGTCTAACTATGTCTGAAAGATACCTAATGAAATATTCAGTTTAGAAATTGTTTCAGTTTGCACTTCTAGTCTTGTAACAAGTACAAAGTAAAATCACTCATACTGAGAAAGAATTGTGTGCAACTTAGAATAACTGTTTCATGGTTACAAAAAGTCATACTGGCATAATGCAGCTTCTCTACCATTTCTGTATCTCTCCTACCTCTTATTACCATATGGTTGCATCTCCTTCAATTTGTGTCAGTTTATCTTGCGGATATATTATAAATAAAGTTATTTACTTTTTTGTCTGGATAGTTGTGGTTTTACTGGTTTAATCTGTTAATGTATCTAATGTAGCAGCTAAATTGCATTCTTTAAAATACCTGTTCATGTTGGTTGCTCTGCATTTTATTAGATAGTCAGGATAGAGTTCTAATTAATTTTTTTCCTATATGGACTTACTCCCTCATTTTAGGAAGCTGGTCCTAAATTTGTACAATATTTTAAAATTGAATTCTATGGTTACAGATTTTATACATAGGAAAGCCTTAAGTAAAATACTGTCAAAACTAACCAAGGTAGCTAATTACCAACATGGCAGCTAAGAAATACAAGAAGCTGTTGATTAGAATCTTTAACACTTAGTTTACCTAGTGTTAAACTAGCAAAGACAATCACCATTTTCTCTATTAAATGGCTACCTCTGGGTGACCATAGATATTTCAGTTTTAGTTTTCAGTTCCCTACTAACTGGGAAACAACTTGCCTGTTTACAGCATGCCCTGTATTGCAGGGACACACAACTCTGCTCATGACTGCAGATAACTGGGCCAGATTTGCTGTATTACTCCTTTTCAAAGACTGAGCCACAACCAGCAGAGTCTTTGGCTGATAATCCACTTTGTAGCTGCCAGTGCCCCAACAGTGCCAGCTGCACTCTCTCATGTCATACCTTTATCAAGTTGTATTTCCTATGTCTGTGCGTGTACCATGCAAATACACTGTCATGCGAGGTACTCCAAAATATTTCTTTTAGGGGTTTACATTCCAGGAGCTTCTCTTTAAATGGTCAGTTCCTTCAAACTGAAGCAGTTTTGTCAGAACCATAATTTTTAAATGGTTTAAATAATTAAAAAATAATTATAGTTACAAAAGTAAGTATAAATTGCTACTATTTTTTTCAGTCTCATTCCCATGCTGAGGTGATGTTATGTTACTGCAATATAATTTGCTACAACTACACTTTTTTCAAAGGTTTTATTTTTAGTAGATAAAATGCATATGCATGTTTTTAAAAGATTTTAAAACATTCAAGAAATGCTCAGAGAAATTAAATCATCACAATTACATTTACAGCTATATAGGGATTTTGTATGATTTGATGGCAAAAACATCAAGAAGTTGGTAAAAAAAAGCAAGCACAGCAGAACCACAGAATTTTTTTCTTCAGCTTTGTTTGACTCCAGAAGAAACTACACAGACTTGTGCAATATCATCATACTCATATGTTCTCTTCAAAAACGTGTCTGTAAGTCTTAAGCCAGAGACACTCTAGAAAGGAAAAATATTTTTAGGAGTTGGTATTAGAAAGAATTGTTAAACTTATAAAACAGCTATTTTGTAACAAAACTGTGCTAATGCCTTACTTGCAATCCCTGCACTGAAGACAACAATGTAAGTGCAAGGTGGAGGGATGAACTTGGGTGCAGCTTTCCAAGTTGCCTTCCTGAAACTCCACACCAGTGGATGGAATTAGTATTGCACATTTCTAAAACCAGATCCATAGTCCTTTCACTGCTAGAGAAAATTGAAAAACAAGAATAAACCTGTGGGCTTTTTTAAGCACTCAACGATTGCAGACATGTGAAAGCTTGATTATTATTCAGGTTACTATTAATCAAGAATTTATAAATAATTATAAGGCAGCAAGCAAGATTTACTTTGACACACAGTAGTTCAGCTTTGTTTCACACGAGCATCCTGTCATGCATTTAACAGTACTGGATAACTAACACTGCTAACATTTTGGATGGACTACAAGATTTTCATGAGAAGTATCTGCAGACTAAATACATGCTTTAATCCCTGCCCTCAACTTCTATTTAGAATTATTTCATTTAATTATCACTTTTGCAACCCTAAGATGATTTGCGATTAAAGTATGAGGTACAATCTTAAATAATACTGCAGACAGCTCCATGGAATTCCTCTACAAATTTTTGGCAATGTCCTAGTTCAGACGGTATTAACAGATCATAACAGAATGGGCTATTTTGTTGTTTTGTTTATTTTTTAAAATCATTGTAATTCATAAGATGTGTTTCAAGCAGTTTTGTCTTACTACAACTCATAGTAAAGACCACGTTTAACTTGTTTGAGGAGAAATTATTGAAAAATGAAACAAAACCAGCCATAACTTACCCACTCCTGAAAAAGTACAAGAATAATTTGATATGGTTACCTGCAATTTGTTATTTTACATGTAATGTCAAAAGGTTCTTCCAAATTTACAGTGTCTGGTATTGTCTCCAAAGAAAGCCTTACATCACCATAGCCAGGAGCCTGAAAAGTAAGAAGAATGCATACTCAGATTTTGAATAGTGAAGTTGAAGTTTTTACTACTCAAGTTTTCCTTCACTGCAAGAAGCTTGGAATAAGAGGAATTTGAAGAAAGAAGGTTGACTCTGTGCTTTTGATTAGTATGCAAATCACAGCAGTTCTCCATCCACTTCTGATGATCACCACCTTCACAGGTTTAACAATTCATTAGATAAGGGTGATCATTATTACTATGTTTTCCAGATAGTTTACACCCTTAAAGTCTGAATAGCCATATACAGTTCCTGAGATCTGCTTTATCCTGAGACCTGTTAGGCAGATAACAGATCTACACAGACAATATAAATAAAATTTTCCTGCATAAACCCACCACTACTCCACATCCTAAGAAATAAGAGGCTGCTCATTCTCCCTGCCATTTCAGTCATAGAATCATAGAATAGATTGGGTTGGAAAAGACCTCCAAGATCATCAAGTCCAACCCCTGATCCAACTCCAATTACTATATCATGGCACTAAGGGCCACGTCCAAGCTCTTTTTAAAAACCTCCAGGGATGGTGAATCCACCACCTCTCTGGGTAGGCCGTTCCAATGCCTGATAACCCTCTCTGTAAAGAATTTCTTCCTAAGCTTCTGCCAAAATAATTAATTGCCACCAGTTAGAAAGTCACATGAATATGAATGCTTATCAACTATCCTGTTCTGTCAAGAGTCAAACACATTTCACATGACAAACCTGTGGTAAATATCCTAGTTAAAACCAACCAGGGCGGATTCAAGTTGGTAATCTGCAGATAAAAAGCAGGTTTAGATTTTCAATCCCCACAAATGATAGATGGTAACGAAAAAATAAGGGAAAAATTTGTCCTGCCTGATAAGGCTTAGTTGTTGCACATGTTCCAAGTCTACTGATAAAATCATGCTGTAGTGAAAGTTGTATTTACAGCTTGATTGAAAGATATTCCTGAAGAGGTTCAGAAAGCCAGTGCTTGAAACAGGTTTTAGTCGCATACAGTCCATTACAGATTAGTGACAGATGACATTTTAGAAAGCATATTTAACTGGACATTACAGTAAGCAAAGGGATGTCAAGCCAATGGGGATTTCAGACCAGTTGAGCAGTGTACATTTGGAACCTTTCAAGAAAGAGAAGTAATTACTCAGCCTTGGAAAAACACAAATATATTCAGCTGCATTAGGTCACAGGGAGGAGTCAACTGGAAAATTATACTCAGTTCCCTCAACATAACACTGCTTGCTGTAACACTGAGCTCTTCTTTTAAGAGATACATTAAGGGGAAAAAACCCCATACACAAATGCACAATAAAAGCAGTATTTTATAGAAAACTTAGCAGCAACTGGCCAAATCAAAACAGAGTAGATGAGAAAACCTATTCTGGCACATAGTGTTGAGTTTAGAAATGAGATACCTCCAAGAATTGATGGCTAGAAGTAAAGGCCTTGAAGTAACACCACGAGGAGCAAGGTAGCTTTCATCCAAAATTGAGGTAATTGCTCAAAAGTATGAAATCAACTAGACAATTCCTCACTTGTCCTGCTCAGGAATAATGTTTAACTTTGGTCTGGTTCTAGTCTAGTCCTGCACTGAATGCCTCTGAGCAGGTGGAGTACCCTTGGCATACTGTGGACATGCATCTGTCTGGTTTAACGTCACCCAAAAAGAATGTAGTTGTGAATTCCAAGACCATTCCACAAAAAAACCCCAACCAAATTATGGTATGTGGGGGTAATCCAGGATAGTTGTTTCAAAAATGCATTTCTGATCCGAACCATAACAATGACAGAGGAGCACAGTACAGGCAAAATTCTGGGTGTTGGGGGCAACAGTAAGGCTGGCAAATGGATTAGGATGAAAATGATTAAGGATAAATGAAGCCAAGAGATTAAATAATCTGACAGATTAATTAAAAAATTAAGAGAAGACAAGAGGGAGCTGCACACACTGCAACTCAAAAGGGAAAATGCCCAACTATTTGCTGCTTTTCTAAAAACATATGTTGCTTAAAGTACACAAGATTGCTCGTGTTTCTCTGTTAATCATGAGGTACAAACCAATGACAGATGACCAAAACTAACCATGGAGTGTGTTTCATGTGCAATACTCAAATGTTCAACAAGAAGGGATGCAGTGTGAGACAATACTGATTTAGGGAGGGGAAAAAAAATCTTTCTTTAAGAGAAATGATAGGAAAGCTCAGTTGAAAATGAGACAGTTTATTCTTAAAAAATAAGCAGCAAGTTTCAAAGTAACAGGAGTAACTTAAGTTCACAAAAAAGGGCAGTTTCTAATTTGATGGGGTTATACACACACTTTACACTTCAATTAAAAATAAAGAGAAGTTTCAGTGACTAGCTGTGAATTTCCAGGATCCAAGTTTGCTTGCCTAGTTCTCAGTCAGTATGATTTCCCTACAGAATTGCTCAGTTACTAGAAGATGAGGACTGGGGGAAAGACAGAGGTAGAGACCCAATTATAAGCTTTGTAAACTCAGACTAAGATTCATTTTTCAAAGTTTTTTTAACTATTTTTCCATATCTCTCTTACCATCCTCAGTTGAAAAGATGCAAGTCAAGGCATTAGAGTAGACACACTGTGCAGCTAACTTAAGCAAGCTAGTAAATACAACTTAAAATTCATGACCAATTTTTAAATCAACTAGAATAGAACAGATTCAATCAAAATTGTGGACATGAAAGACAAATAATATTACACATAAAAATTGTTAATCAAAGATAATTTTATTCTAACCAATGTATTTTGCAACACTAGTTACTTGATTTTGGCAACTAAAATGCACAGTCCATTAAGTTATCCACACTTCACTGAAGAAATACAGGAAATAACTCTCTAACACATATAGAAACATGAGGTTCAGAAAGTAAGCAGCTCACATTTTCCAAGTCATTATTAAATTGTTCGTTGAGTTGCCTTAGAAATGAGCGCTATGTTAACACTTGAATTAACCTTACCATTCTCTGAAGCTGGCTAGTTTGCAGCCTTCCTCGTTCACCCAGATTGGTTTTCCATACAATATCTAGTTTACCAATCACTGTTACACCTTTTATTACTCCAGCTTTCTCTGCAAATTCTTGCTTTGGTTTTAGACAGTATAAGTATTGACGTGTATCCATAGGTTGTAAGTAAGTCCTTGCGCCAAAAGTAGACTCACTGAACAGAAAAAAAAACACACTGGGTCTTAATTTAAACAGTTACTTTGAAAAAGACTTTGAAACCAAACCTTTTTTCCCCATCTCTCACCAATCTTAGTGTGTGTGTGTGTTCATACTTTATTATCGGCAAAACACACAGAACAGTTTTCTGTTTTTAACACAACAGAAAACAATACTAGAACTTATGTACCACCAAGGACTGTGGGGAAAAAAAACCCATTCTCATTCATCTGAGCCAGAGAGAAATGAGATGGAAATACACTTTGGCACATTATAATTTATTATCTGGCATCTTAGCATTTAAACAACAATGCTGGTAATTTTTCTTTTGCTGTTTGGTTTCTCTCACAGTAATTCTCAGTGTAATGAAACTAAGATTCCTGTTCAAAAATCATTACAGCAGATGCAAACACTTTATAAGAACAATGCTCCTCTATATTACAGGTGACCCCTTCAACAGGCAAGAAGACAGAATTTTCACTTTAGCCCCCTCTACAGAAGCACTCAAACATCACCTGCTCCAAAAACCCAAGCAAGTGCAAAGCACAAACAGCTGAAATTAACTTCACAAGCTTTTGTATCACAGTAGTCAGTTATTCTGGTATTTGGTGTTCTACTAACGGACACTAAATGAAATTTAATTTATTTCACCATAACAAATTTTTATATTTTAAGATCCTATATGGTTGTTCCACTGAATCACCTTAACTGCTGCCTTGCTAGATCTTGATTAGAACAACTGAAAACAGTTACCACTCTACTGATAGGAAGCAAGGACATATCAGGTCCTGTAAGGCTAAGTATGTACACAGAGATCAAGTCAGAACCAGATGTGGGCTAAATATGATATAGGAGATACTGAAAAAATAGTATGTTTTCATGTCACCATGTCATCCATGTTAGAAATTATTTGAGGATTAGGCTGGAGATTACTAGGTAGAATTATAAAGTTTTAAGAATAGTTTCCATGAAAAGAAAACTGGAACAGATTTTCCAGTTGAATACATAACAGGAATTTGATCTTTTCAATCAAGCAAAGAAGTGCAATCCTTCCATTACAGACAACTAACTCTAATGCTTATATCTCATGAAATCCTAATACAAAGAGTTTCAAAGTTAAGTATCTTGAATACGAACATACCTTTTCCCTACTGTGTCAACTGTGTTCAGTTCTGCAACACTGTACATCATAGATGGCTCTAAAGAAACCTTCTCCATAAACATTGGAGAGGTAGTGATATTCTGAATTTGAGCTTCCAGAAACACTTCATCTGTCTGGAAAAAACCAAAAGTGCAAGTTCATGAAAATGTGATTAGTGTTATTGAACAGAGCAGACAGTCCTATTGTTAAAAAAAACCACATGTGTTTAGTTCATGCCTGCAAATCAAACTAATTAATGCAAGAAAAAAACCTTAATCCCAGTAACAATAGGAGCAAAAGTGTTAGTCAACAGGTATCTTGCCAAACAATGGATGTGGGATAATTTTGCTATGTTCTAGCTATTGCTTATTTTTAATGCATCAGTTCACCACTTCCCAAGACTTCCATCAACTTAATAGCAACTCAAGATTTAATCCAAATTATTTAAAAAAAATTTAAAAATAGAATAAATGGTAAGGAATTGCAGTGCACAACATGCCATGCCAGATGACTAGTGCATCAAGCTGTATAAAAAAATTAAAGTAAGTGTGTGTTTTTTTCTTTAACTGAAAAAAATATTTCATGTACATGCTCTGAGATTTTATTATTATTATGAAACACTGGCATTCTGGCTAAAACACAAAATCCAGCCTCCTCTCTCACTCAGCTCCATCATGCCAAAGGTTACCAATACTGTATGCATCTGACAATTTAACTGGTGCTGTACCTTCAGAACTTCTGAAGCTAATGTCTAAAGATGGTATTGAAGGACCAAGTCTGGTACAGAAACAAAAGCTAAGGCTGTTACACTTCCAAAGATGAAAACACATGGAACTAGAGATGGTTGTGCCTCACGTCTTTTGTGGAATTGCAAACCAATGAAGTCATTTTGCAACTCTAAAAATCTCAGGGCACAGGATCAGTCTACTAGAGGTAAGAGCCCCCAGAGAAGTGAAAAACAAAACCAAATTGCTAATTTAAATTAAAAAAAAGGGGTAGCAACCAAATCTGTATTTACAGAAGAGTTACTGATTCAGGCAGTTGGTCTAAATGATTGTTGTAGGCTACTTCCAACTGAACTAGTGTAGTCTATAGATTCAGATTGAAGCAGTTTATTTTGTTATGATAAATTTTTAAAAAGTACTTTTATAAGGAAAGCAGAAAGAAGCTTACAGTTTCTTTTAATCAGTTTAAATAAATCACTTTATACAAATGGAGTCCTGCTGGTAAATTACAAAATAAAAGTGAGACAAAACAGTCAAAATATGTTTAGTCTCAAAAATATTGTGTTAGAAGGAGAAATACAGAATTGTTGTGTAACTTTCTCTTCTTTACTGTGTTTACAAGGCACAAAAACCAGACAATAGCATATATATGGCAATGAAAACTGTGCAGGCTCCTTGGGTTACAGACACACCTCATGCTTCCAGGACCTGGAAATAACCCCAACCAAAACATGGTTCTCAGTAATCACTACTACTGTCACTAAAATTGATACCATTTATATCCCAAAAATCCATTGCTCAAAGTGTCCATTTACCCAAATTTTAGTTGTTTTCAAAGCAGCAACCATAGGCAGAAATTTAGAAAAGCTAATTTGAAAGGGAAAAGAAAAAACAAGCAGCATAATGAAAAAGCAAGTTAGTTTTGTGTTATTTGTAATCTGGTTTAATATCACACGGTTTAACAACCCCCCTTAAATATTTAAAAATATGCACTACATTTTAATACAAGGCACACCTTAAAGTGAAATCAGACTGCAGAAGTAACATACTAACTCAATCAACTGTTACATGCAGTTAAAAGTTGGAAAGTGCAGTTCCAGCTAGCAAAAGGAACAAAGAATATCCAACTGCTGCTCTCTCCTCAAACCCACTGTCTCCACCAATGAGATGTGAAAAGTTCTGTCACAGCTTACACAAGCAGTGCTGTAGTGAAACCTACATTTCCAAAGGCAAAACAAGAAAAATTTTAGGAGAGAATCACTCCTGTTTTCAAATAATGAATCTAATAAAATTTTGGTAAGGTATTTTATAGGAGGACTCCCACAAGCAAGAATCTGTAATAATCAACTCTGAGTTTCAACAATGGGTATTAAAGAAAGAGCTAACCATATGAGTGATTAGTTGCACATATAAAAACAAGAAAACATCTGTTTATGATAGGCAGAACAAACATTGCTTTTCCATTATGTTTGTAAAAGAATGTCAATAACAAGCACAGAAACAGGTAAGCAATTAAAAAAGCATACATATTTATAAAAAAATAAATAAAAATTACCACAGAACTGAGGTCACTCTAATGGGAAAATAAAAAAAAAAATTAGAGAAATTAGGGTTAAATGTTAAAGAAAAAGGAGGCTAACTTTCAAATAAAATGCATCTCTGCATTTTTTTGCACCATCTAAACAAGATAGCATTAGTAAGACAGAAACATAAACAAAAATGGATGCAAACAAAGATGACAACTACATTTCTAATAACTTATAGCTAGTATGGTTACATGGTTTACTAGCTTTGCTTCAGAACTAATCCAAAGTAGAGCTTACGGCACACAAATCACAGACAAGATATGGTAGAACAAACTGACCAAAAAAAAGGGAGTTTTTGAGCAAGTTTCAAGTTTGTCCTAAATTTAAATCCATGCAATGGGTCGTATACGAAATGGAAAAACAGTCCCTGTATTTTACAGATAATTTGAAGTATCCACATATATAAGGTCTCAAAAAACCCCCAATGTGGCAATGCGTCCTAGCAAAGCTACAATGTAGCAAGTTATAACAAAATTTGGCATACTATCAGGAAAAACTTTTTTAAATATCCATCATTCCAAAAACTCAGTTTTAATTGCAAACTTTCTTATCTTAGGTGTCTGCATATTTGCCTCCCTGTGCATGTTTGCAGGAACAGGACATTTTACAAAGCCTTTTCCAAGGCACATCAAAGTCAGTGAGAGAGTTTCTATAGGCCGGGGCAGGTAATTCAGTCCTGGGATTGCAGCAGGTTAGGGCAACAGGGCATGTGTTCTGTGCACAAATTTCAGTGATTGATTCGATTTGGATGCTACTGCAATATAAGCAACAAGCAAGAAGATAAGGTTCAGCATCATTCCTTGTCTTAGAAAAAATTTAAATTCTGGATTATCATTAGAATATTAATAGAAAATAATTTTAGTGAAAGGTATTATGAACAGACAGCATCATACCTGTAATATTAATGATAACAGTTTAACTGGTTAGACAACCTTTACAGACCTTTAGTTAACTAAATAACTGACACATACCAGTTTCTTTTCTCCCCTGCTCTCAAGGATAATAGTCAGGATCAATGCCTTGGTGTTTTCATAGCAATGTAGTATCACACACGACATCTAATCAAAGACTTATTTCTAGGTTTTTAAAATTTATTTGAATTCTATGGTCACAATATACACTTTACATACTTCCAGAAATTAAATAGGAGTGGTACTACATCCATTTCCTAGGTAAATGAAAATTGCTTAGTTAATATCATCCAAAATATTTTTTTTTTAAATTTCTTTCAATCATATGGGTGAGACGGTAACGGGACTTGCACAAAGTCATGAACATGAAGACCAAAAGGCATTCAAACAGCCTTTTAAAACCTCTACAGAGAAAAAAAACCCAGAACCCAAACCCACACACACCAGCTCAAACACAAAAGCTTCCCACAGATCTCTACCATGAGGAATTGGTAGCTAATTGAGAACTGGAGTTCAAGACCAGTCAGTATACCAATTTTGTAAAAACAAAGAATACTTCTGATCTATGTCAAAAGTTTGCCCAGAATTTACCTTAAAAAGGTTTTGATTTCCATTAGTGTTTCATCACAAAACAAAACTTACACAGGAAGTATAGAGATAGCAACATTTAAGGTATCTGTCCCTCTCTCCCCTAACACACACTTGATATCTGAAACAATAATATAATGCAGACACTAAATATGGGTTTATTTTGCTCCAAGAGGAATTACCTAATTTTTTAGGATTATTTTTGTTTCTTTTGTTGTTAAACCACAGCAGAAGACATTCCCACTTACGGATAACAGCAGTTCTATAAATCATGCTTTACATAAGCATGTGCTTATGTTCCAACCCTACTCAGGTATCTCACACCTGATCAACATATGGTTTGAAGCCTGTGGCCTACATACATCTACCAAATTCTTACCATAAATAACCAAATATGTCCAAATAAATATGCAAGGTATATATAAGGTCATTTAGTTTCAAAGTGCTCTGTGTAACTGTCACAAACCTAAAAATTAAATTACTGAACGGAAGGGTCATAATTACATTTAAGTTAAATTTAAGTAATTTAAATTTAAAAAAATTTAAATTGTCCCCACTCTGATAAATTGTCATTTGTTTTGTGAACAATTTATCTCCCTTACAGTAAGTACTCTACCAGCCTAAATATACAAATGATAACTGAAAGTATCTGAGTTCATGGGCAACTGGAAAATATGCAAAATTGTCAGTCAACTACATTAAGGTCTTAACATGTCTATCTTAGTTACCATCTCCTTCAACCCTGAATCAAGAGGCTATTTTAAAACTAAACAATATATGTCTATCATCCTTTTTTTCCTTTTAAAACTGATCACCTTTCTCAGAAAGGTGTACATACAAAAGCACTTTGAATTTAATCTAACCACCTAATATGAAGTAATAAACCCAGAACACCAAAACAAACCCAAATACACACAGATCTCACCTCAGCATTGTAGAATTTGGTTTTCACATCTAGTGGTTTAAGAACCTGAATGAAATGGAAAAAAAGATGGACAATTGGTTTCTCAGACAACTTCAGCATACACTGTTTCAAAGTGCTAGGGTCTTTTACTGAAGTGTTATTTTTCTTTCTGATCTTACACATAACAGGTGCATAATGGAATATGTGATACAACTGACTCAGCTAAAGCCCCACAACTAAAGAGTATGTACTTGCTGCTTCTTACTTGTGCATACTTGACTGCTTTCCTACTAAGCAGTTTTCTCATACTGAAAACAAGTAATTCTCAACCTAAGCACTGGCCTCTTATAAAAACAGACAAATCCAGTGTTCTAAGTAGATCTATGTCTTTAAAACATCATCACATTCATCCTGGATCCTGAAGTGGCCTGCACTTGCTTTCAAGAGTAAGCAAGAATTATCTAATAATTACAAGTACTTCAGAGTTCTGCAGAAAAAGTTGCTGAGGGCTTCTCTAAAATAAAATAGAGAACTATTCATGTGACTAGCTTTAACAAAAAACCACACTAGTCTTCACTTCCTTCTTGAAAATGCAGCTGTTTCGAGAAATAAAAAATCCAATACATCATTTTAGTCTTATGAGATTCGATCAGCAAAACAAAGCAACTCCATGACATAAAAGAGATTCTCAAGTGTTGGTTCTTAAGTACTTGAATTTTTGCATAAAGCCACTACAGTTAACACATTCAAATATGAAGTGTATATACAGTGATGTAACTAAAAGAAAAAATCTTCTATTACACTTGTAAGGAAACAAATTTAAATTCTATTCCTGAAGACATTTATTTGCCTTTACATAGGAAAACTTTTTTTGTTTGCAAATAAATGCACTGCATCCTAAGAGACCCCCCTAAGGTTCCAAGTTGTAAACAAATCTTTTAGCACTGAAGAACTCAAGATTAAAAGTTGTCTTCAGAGAGACTTCTGCACTATAACAGGCATAAAGTTCAAATCTTTCCAGTATTCATAACTCTCTCTCTCTCTAGTCAGAAAAAACGGTTAAAATTTTAATTTAGGTCTTTGCTGGTTGAGCAGGGCTTTCTTCAGCCAAATATTTTGCTTCAGTAAGCTTCTTAGTAATTTTTCTACATGCTGATTTTTTTCTCTTTTCTGATAGACAAAGTCTTTCCATTCATTGCAGTAAATTTCAAGTGGTCTTCCAGTAAAATACGAATAATTATTGTGAGGTTCACAAATCACCCACCAAAGCTAAACAACAACCAAATGACAGAAAGAATCATTCCTTCTCCATTTAGGCATAATGCTGTTATTACTCAGAGAAAGCTCTGGAACATAAAGGCACTGTCAATCCGAATTAAACTAAGTATGATGTTTTAAAAAAGAAGCTGATTATAACCAGTTAATTTTAAAAGATGATAAAAAATATAAATGTAAAAAAGCTGAGAATCTGTCAAAGAGAATTTTTTTTGGTTTGTTATAAAATAGCTGGTGGCATCTCGATCACAAGCAGTCATCAATTCCCATTGTAAAGAAATGGTTTAGTGTTCTATAACACTTCTTTTTGTTTGTTCTCAGATATTCTAGGTGGTGTCTTGATGTCAAATCTACAAATAATGGCAAAAATGTCTCAGTGAAGAGTTTTTCTCATAATGAATCAGAGGGTATTTACAGAATGGTGTAAAAATGTATATATATATATGTATATATATATATAACTTTTAAGAAGCTCTTATGCTTCCTTCTTTGTAGGAAGGGCTTCAAATTTGACAGATAGCTAGCCTTAGCTATTTTGACAATTAAGTTGTCTGTGCTGGGTTCAGTTAAAAACCACAGCAATTACAACACGCATGTAGACCCCAGAAAAATGTGCACAAATAAGCTTACATATAAAATCTAAAGGAGACAAATCAACATCTTAGACAAAGCTCTGGCAAGAACAAAGGTAAGGAACAGAGAGAATATGAGATGTGAAAACCTGCAGGTGCATGTGTAAGTGATCAGAGAAAGCCTAGAGGGGACAGAGGTAGCCAACACTAAACCGAGGGACAGAGAATGGAGAAATGGAAACAGTGTCACAAGGAGAGCACGACAAAGCAAAGATGAAAATTAACTTCACTAAAGATGAAGAAACTCTGAAGAGATTCTGCATTCAGAGGGAGTGTAACACAAAAACTGATATGGAATGATTTTCCCTAGGATTGCCAAGAAACACATCTTCGATTAATCAGTTTGTGCTATTTCAAGGTAATACTAACAGTCCTTGGATGTTCTTTGTCATCATCATGGCTGGGCTTCACGAACGAAGATTTGGGAAGGGCTCTACCCACATTTGTTACAAGCACACTGGTGGCTAAAAAGGCCAATACGAGATAGACATATCCAACTGCAAAAGGTGATATCCACATGTTCTTTGTAATGAATGGCAATTTAACCTTTTAAAGACTGAAATACTTTTTCCTGAAGTATCTAGACAGAATACTAAAAAACTACAAAATGAAATCACCTCATAGAATCACAAAATATCCTGAGTGGGAAGGAACCCACAAGGATCTTCAAGTCCAATTTCCAGCCTTGTACAGGACCATCCCCAAGAGTCACACCATGTGACCGAGAGTATTGTCCATACACTTCCTGAACTCTATCAGCTTGGTGTTGTGACCACTTTCCTGGGCAGCTTGTTCCAGTGCTCAATCATCCTCTGGGTGAAGACCCTTTTCCTAACATCCAATCTAAACCACCCCTGACACAACTCCAGGACTAAACTATATAATGCTCCTGTACTGCCAGATACTCTGTGACAGTATCTTCCATTCCATGAGGAAGAGCCCACAATTATCCAAATCTTAACATATTTCTCTAAAAAATCCCCAAACGGCCATTAAATATACAGCTAAAATAGACTCTTTCTTGCCAGAACCAGTCCACAGATAACAGTATTTTCCTGCTTTCCTCAGTTACTCCAATCTCAAGTCTCGAAATTTGTGTGATGGAACAAAAGGTTTCAACTCCGCCAATTACTTCTGTGGGTATTAGTTAGATACAGTACATCAGACATCTTTGCTTAGATTCCTTTAAAAAACAAATCACTAAGTTCCAGCTTTAAAAAGGTTACACACACTAAAACAAAAATCAGAATTTTACACTGTAAACTCAATGGTTAGATGTATCAAAGTCAGAATGAACAACGTTCAATAAAATCCTGTTTAAAAACAGTTATAAAGCTGGCTGCTATAAAAAGGGATTTTTTAAGAGTAATTTTTTTCTCTATAAATTAAAAAAATTGTAAGATGTAATATTTATTATTTCTGAAATGTTTACATGTATGACAATTAGAAACCACCACTTCATGTGAAGTTTGAAGTGATGGCTTTTAATAGTTCACTTTTAAAAGTTAACAGATTTTTGGTACGTAAAAGTTCTTTTGAAGTGTTAAATGTTTCAAAATGAGTTTTCAAGACTCACACATTGATTAAAAGTAGAGTGGAATACTTCATGCAATACCTGAAATTTGAAGAACTTTCTGAAATACATCTTCTCTCCAGTCTGCGTAGTGTAACTTACTGCACAAACTAAGCTGAAAAGAAATAATTTTTTAAAAAACAATTTTGAGTTACTTTAAATCTATGCTATATTAGAAGCAGAATGTTTGTGCTGCAGTTTCATTTAAGCTCATTCAACAACAGAAAAATTTAAAACCTTACATGTGTGTTCCTATTTCCTTTACTTCATGGTGGATCACATCATCAATGCAACAGTCAGGTTTTAGTTCTGCCACTGCAGCACTAGAAGCTGAAAGGTTCAAACGCTGAGAACTCGTCTGAAGATCAGCCTGGAGACAGAAAAACAAAGCATTGGTTAGAACTGCAGCTCCTTAAAACCATCTAAAGAAAAGTAATTTACATTATAAAGTACTAGGTGTCACTGAGCATTTTGTACCCTACACACTTTCATACATATTATATGTTAAGATGATGAAACTTACCAAAGCTAAAGAAAAGTTCGAAAACTTGTAAGTGGTCTAGTCCTTTAATATGTAACTTATAAAATCTCTATTTGCTTTTTACATTGAGTTCCACAATGACTTCTGGAATTTCTACTCTCAGTGTTTTATTTGTTCAACAGAAAATGCAAACCAAAAATGTAGCACTAGAAAACAACTCATACAAAATACAAACCAGCGTGCAGTTTACACAGACTTGTTTTGACAACCTCATTGAGTATGCAAGTAAATGAATACAACTCCATATTTTTAGCTGTGAAAGTTTTGCTAGACTCATTCTTCAGAGAAGCTTTGCATAGAAGGGTGTGTGTTCAGAGAAGTGCAAGGAAGCTGGTGAAGGGTCTGGAGCACGTGTCTGATGAGGGGCGGCTGAGGGAGCTGGGGGCATTTAGCCCGGAGAAAAGGAGGCTCAGGGGAGGGACCATGCTGCTATCTAGAAATGCTTGAAAGGAGATTGCAGCAAGAGGGGGGTTGGTCTCTTCTCGTAAGTTACAAGCAATAGGACAAGAGCAAATGGCCTCAAGTTTACCCAGGGAAAGTTGAGATTGGATAGCAGCAACAATTTCTTCACCAAAAGGGTTGTCAAGCATTGGAACAGGCTGTCCAGGGAAGTGGTTGAGTCACTAACCCTGTGGGGACAGTGTAGATGTGACACTTAGGGACATGGTTTACTGGTGGCCTTGGCAGTGCTGGGTTAACAGTCAGACTTGCTGATCTTAGAGGTCTTTTCCAAACTTAACAACTCTGTGATTCTGTAATATATCCACTTTTTGACACAATCATAATTCTTCATTTTAATCTTGAAAGATTTCTATAATAATTTCTATTTTTATGTCTTACTGTTTCCAGTATGGATTGGAAAAAGTGACATGTATTTCCTAAAGCCTATAAATTAGCATTATATATATACAATATATTGTCAGAAAACATACTCATCATTTTTTTTATAAATCAAGTAAGTGGATTTATCATCACATACCTTCACCAGTATGTCCTTGACAACCTGATTACTATCATTGTGCACACTAATATAACTGGAAAACGTCTCACCCAGAAATATGTTTCTGCAGTTCAGGAAAAGAAAATATTTTTAGTAACAGTTACTAAAAAATCAGAACATGTCACTGAAACATCTTTTAGTTCTAATTTAAAAAATATATACACACACGTGTTTGCCGGATTAAATCCTAGAAGAATATTGGCATCTTCACACCCATACTTCTGAAGCCATCCTTTTAAGACAAACAGCTTCAAAAGAGAGCAAACAAATCAGATTTTTTTTTTCCAGCTCAATATCTGAGATGAATAAGAAGATGGCTTCCAGTACCCAAAGCATCATGGTAGTAAACTCTGTTAATGTAAGATGGGGATTATAGCAGAGCATTACACTAGTCATTCACTCACAGCTGTAAATCTCTTCCAACTTTCAACGCTTATTAAATTCAGTCATGCTACAGAAAAGCATGGGTAGCACACACACACACACACACACACATATATAGAGAGATTTAGATTTATAAATCAAACCACAGGTTATTTTTAAAATGACTGAAAATCTCATTGCATGACAATGGTGTTCAAATAGAAAGAGAAGTAATAAACACATTATTATTAAATGAATCCTAAACCTTGCATGTTACAGTTACAATAATTCATTCTTACCCAAAATTTTGAGGTAGAGTCAGCATTTCTCCTAACATCAAAGTTTCTGCACCCTTTACAGTAGAAGGATCATCTTTCATGAGTTGATTAAAGAGATTACCTGTAGAAATATCAAGTTACTATTAATTACATATTTGCTAAGTCTAAAGGTTTGTCTACATTTAAGTTAGACACTTAATCACTAACTTAGATGTAGTTTATTTTTAGATACATTTATTTTACAATTAACTTATATAGGGAGGAAATAGATATCCATAGGCCTGCCTTTAAATTATAATTTAACTCCCATGCACTTGTATCCAATAATTTATTCAGTATACATACTGAAGGGTACAATCCCAAAGGCATAGCTCAAATTAACATTGAATTTCAAGGGAAATTCTACCCAAGTAAAGCACAGTACATAACAGAACTAATTAACCTCACTTATTTTCTTCCCCTGCTTGGTTTGTATTTCCACACAATCCTCTTTCTTGAATCTTCCCTTTGACTCTTATACTTGACTTCTAGACTTCAACTATTTCTGTGGGACAACCCAGGGATTTCCAATTTATGATGGCACACTAAGCATAACACAATTCAAAATCAGTCTTGCAAAATTGTTTTCCATAGAACATTCTCATGTTGGTTCTAATTACCAGGGCCTTTTCTCCAGATAAAAAAAGACAGTAATGACAAGTTTTCTCCACTTACACATTTCTCTCACAGAACTGCCTTCAATTTTGTGTTAATTGCTCAGACTTTGAGATCATGCATTTGAGTATCATCACTAAGCTTTCAAAGCTGTAGGTCAAGAGCTGTAGAGCGCACCTTGGTACCTTCCTTCAATTATAACCAAATCTAAAATATACTGCTGTTTCAGAGTCCCCCCTCTAGGGGAGGTCATAAGAATCCTCTAATATCTTAGATGGTCACATTGCTTAAACCTGGTAAGACATACATAACAATCAGTCAGTAGAAAAGATTTACCTGGCAAATCTCTTTCTTCACAAGTCACCGGAATATTAGTGAATAAAGTAGGTTTGGTTAGCCTCATCACTGCAAAAATCAGAAAATAAACCACAGGTCAATTAAACAAATATTTTTAATTTTTTTTTAAAGTATAATTTTGTCTTGCTCTCCTCCCACCAAAAAGCCCCAACAAACCACAACCACCGAATAATCTTAGCCTGAAAGAGGGTAACACCTTCTTGGATCACCTGGCCTTTCACAATATAAAAAAATTCCCTGCTCTTCTGAGATCCAATACTGGTAATGGCATTGCTCCCTCCTCCTTTGTTCCCTTGGTGCACTGACATCTACTGCTTTCAATTTTATGTGCTAAATGTCTTATACGTGTTACAGCGTTAAGGGCTTTGTGGTCTTCAGAAGTGCACCAGTTTAATTTTTTTGTGGACTTCTTCAGTTAAACACCTGTCCTGTAATCCTCGTTGCTCTAGAATGTGACAAGATGGCTAAGACAGACCCTTTCAGTCAAACACCAGTCTATAAGGAATTGCATTTACACCCTAATCTATAACACATACACAAGGAAGAGTTACAAGTCTAAAGGTCTACATTATTTATATATCTGCTTTTTCTTTAAGCCACAACCTTTAAACTCAAGCCAGCAAAACCAGCACAAAAACCTGAGGAACAACATAACCATTTTATTGATACTGACAAAATCAAAATCATTGAGATTTTGCTACTTAAAAAACTATACTTCAAGAAAGTGGTATTTTCAAAGTCTATTTTAACTCGTACTCAAAATTACATTATTTTTACTTATATAACAGATTTAAGATGCTACTTTTTAAATGAATTCTTCCCCATTTACATTAACCATGGCCCTAATCTAGTATATAGCTTATTATGAAATCATTCACATGAAACAAAATCGAGCATTTGTAACCTTAGGTGTTGATCTGAATATGTAAAAATCATCGGGTTTTTTTTCTTTGAAACTTAATAAACATAAAACCAACTAAAACTAAAAAATAAACCAAAAGGATTTCTCTTGACTGCAACAAGTTAATCAACATCCTTGCACCGATGCGTGTGTTGCGGCTTTACTTTTATTGCACTTTTCTACAAGTTATATATCCAGATAGCATTCACTGTTTCCAGTGGTGTAAAGTATTCAATTACTTCGATATACATTTGAATACAATGGGCTGTGTTGGTTCACAAGAACTTACACTACCATACAGCAGACCTATGCAAGTTAGCATCGACACAAACAATTCTCACTTTTCACATAAAAAAAGGTAACATTTTCTCCTTGTTATGGTGAAAAGTGGAAAAATGTGACTTCTGAAGGTTTAAAACCATGAGGCATATTAAAAAGATATATAAAACAGAGTAAATGGAGAACCACATTCAACATTGAAAAAGAAAAACATAAAACACTGAATTGTACGTGCATATGAACTAAGCATTTCTTGAACAGAACAAAATGAAAGCCTGGATTTCAGCTGGTACACTGGTGCTACTCAAGACTATAATAATTCTGTAGGGCAGCCTCAGGTGGTGTTCGCTCTCTACATGACAGTTACCCAGCTGAAGTGCTCATAGCTAGAAGAGCATCTATCATTATTCACATATAAGCCAACCCAAAGCAGCAGAAAGCTGACAGCCACAGTGACAGTGATCCCTCCTTCTGTTTAGTAAGATGCTTATTTAGCTCTTTTGTCAGTATATCAAATAAATATAGTGGGACTATATTATTGGCATTATTTAATTTTATTCAAATTTACACTAAGCCTGTATAAACTAGTAGTTGCTGACTATTTCTAAAGAAAGTTTAGTCATGTTTCAGGCAATAAATAAATACATCACAGAATGAAGTCAAAACAGAGAAAAACTACTACAGGTATATTATTTTATTTAATAAGACTACCAAATTAATATTAGAAAATACAGTATTTTTGCAGGACAAGGTTTCAGCACTTTTCTTCTAAGATCCCAGACACAAAATACAACATCAAATAAAATTCAAATCACATTCTCCTTCATTATATCTTCAAAAATGCTGATGCACAAAGAAACTTTGTTACTATTAATGTTAAACTCAGAAATATAATTTCAGTGAAATAATTTGACTGTAGAAGCTACAAAACTAATAACGACCCGCAGTTACACTAGAGAGCATTTTGCACTAATTTTGCTAAGTGGTCATATTAAATAGCACAAACACCCCAAATGTTAATATAAGACCCCCTTAAAATTCAGTCAGAGTTCAAAAATACATGCCAATCACCCAAACTGAGCAATAGCCTTAATTTTAATATTTAAAAAAATGTAATGCCTATAATAAAATATAATTATTCAACATAAGGATGTCATAAAAAATGTAAGTAAAAGTCCAAGGGGAGTTTACTTATTTTTACACAGAGGGATCTGTTAAACTTATGCGCACTTTTATTTGATTAGCATTAATGGTAATCTAACAATCTAAAAATACATTTGTTTTCCTCCTTTTCCAGATGCCATAGATCTTGATCTCCAGCTGGAGCAAAACTATTTAGAGTTAGCAGAAGTGCCTAAGAGAAATGCATACCTTGCAGTCATATCAATCCCAGTTTAACTTCTCTACTGACCCTCTAAACATTCGATTGAGCAAGGACAGAGTGACCTTCAAAAACTTTATTCTTTCAGGTCACAAAAAGTCATGATGAACTCAACCTTTCATGACTGTTTAAACCCTCAGAGACCTTTACCTTCCATAATGACAACAAACAGAGGTTTATGTATAGAAGTCTCATTTCTTAATTTCCTCACTTGTAGCTGGAAGTGCTTTCTAGTGCTCACTACTGCTTTCTTGTTCCCCAATATAATTAGAGACAAAACAACAGAAACATCATGAAAAAATAATCTTACTGTAAACCAGCAGTTATTAAATTGTTCATATTTTTCAGCACACAATTTCTACTGAAGCTATCATTAGTATTTCAGTGAAAATACAGCTAACATTACTAATACAGCGCATTCATGCCACATAAAATAAGTTTGTACTTCATGCAAGGGATATGCCTTCATTAAAAAAGACTCTCGCACACCTTACTTTCAGGAAATAATCAGATCTTGAAAGTCTTAATGTCAAAAGTAATTAGAGATAAAATAGCAATTATTACAACTCATTTAAAAACACTTTTCCTTCTCCTAATTTCAAAGAAGCAGAAAGGATGTACTTTGTTCAACTGAAAGCATAGATTTTATTATCTGACACAGCTTGCCAAAACAGCCTGGAAATTCTACTTTAATCTTTTCTTTTAGACCACCAAGGTAGCGAAAAGCTACAAAATGCAGTACTAAGGCAAACAGAAACTTACTAATCTTAACTGAACCATAAGTTTTCAGGCAAAACAAAGTTAAAGAAATATATCATTAGTTGGAAAACTGTAGCAAAGTAATATAAGTAGGTTTTTGCTTATTAATTCATCAGTTGTTCTAAAGTCTCTATATTCTAAACCACTTAAAAACTCCAGTAGTCCAGACAGTAATTTTATTATTAAACTGTAGCTCAAATTATAAACTAAATATAATTCCATATTTATATACAAGTAAATTCATTTTATCTGTAAGGCTTAGCTTTTCCCGAAGAATATTTCTAACATATTCACAGTATAATATATCACAGAAAATCCATATCTGTCCCACAGATCTTCGGATAGTAGCATTGCAAGAGGGCAATTCATTCTCCTTGATGAGTCTATTCAATTTTATCCAGATGTCCTCCAAATTCTCATTATTACAAATAGATTGTTCAATCGTCCACTTTGCTCTATAAAATGCATGCAGTTTTAGTCTTTCCAAATTATTTTGCAGTTCTTGAGATAAAGGAAGAATCTTTTCTTTGAGTTTAGCATTAGGGAGAGAGATACTCCAAGACCTTTTCAACTTTTGTTTTCCTTGAGGTGGTGGTTGTCCTTGATAGTCCACGTTAACTGGTCTGTGAACAGCTTGTGCTTGGATTAAAGTTGAACCATGTTTCATGCTAGACTGAAAGTCAAGCAGATTCTTTGTGCAGTCGTAATCAGGAGATCCTATAACATATTCTGAAGGTGCAGAAAGATGTTTTAATTCTTCTGCTTCCTCACGAGAAATAACAGGTGCCCGCTTCTTTGGTTTGAGGGGAAGTCTGTATAAATCATTTGGAAACCAGGGAGCAAATCTTGGTAACTGACGAATGGGAAACTCCTTCACTGCTGCTTCTGCAAATTTCTGCAGTTTTATTACATCTCTCTGATGTGGTCGATAATGCACGACCACTTCCATGCTTGTACCATAGGAATCCAGTGATTCTTAGGAAAACAGTCTTAGGAAAACAGAGTCTTGATTAGGATTCTCAAATCTAGACTGAAACATCTTATTTACTAGAATTTCCTTGCCCTTTCCTTTTCCTTGACGCAAAGATCAGTGGAAAACGGGACCTAAAGTAGAAGTATTATAAAACAATAAGATACTACTATATTAAGACAAACATCGCTAGGACATTTTTCAAAAAAGAACCAGGTAGTAAAAATAAATGAGATATGTATTAGAACATTCTACTTTATCTAGGCTGAACATTAGTGGCTGTATTCCACCACTACCAGTGTAACTTCAGTACACGGAACATTATCCACATGCACACTGTTTATTCAACACAGTCCCTCTGCAAGAGAATTCTTTTTTTGTCACCATCTCACACTTGCCATCTGTCACTATTCTTGCTATGTTATTGTGATGTATCTTAAAAGACACACAATTACTACTGCCTATCTTCTCAAACTTAGCCAACAATTATTTTTTTTAATGTTTTTCTCCTACACATCAATATTTTAAGCCAGGGCCTATAAAGCAACATGTGTTACAAAAACTCTTCCTGAAATAGTACTGACTGATACAGCAGGTTTTAAAGTTAAAAGTTAAAAGGGAAGTGCTCTAGGCAAATAGAAGTTGCCTGTTTCCATTTCATATCAGAACTACAACATTCAGTTTTAGTCTCAGAGCTGCCAAGCAATACATGCAACCTTCATTCAAGGAACTGATAATTCCTTAATCTATTAGACTTTTAGAATAATTAAAAGACTAATTAAGTACTCAAAGGCTTTATACTTTCATACAAAGAATACATTAAATGCAGGAGCATGGTGGAGGGAAAACCACAAACACTGTTATGAAACATAAGTATAACACGCACTCTATTGCTCTCCTGTTTGCCCACCCTCTTAAGAAGTTAGCAATCATTTCAGGTTCCCTGATCAGTAACATAAAATGATACTAAAATAATAAAATCCAGGATTGCCTAATCATTGCACTGTCAAGATTCTCTTTAGTATAGTCACAATGCAAAGAAGCCCTCACATCTTTCTCACTTCTTTTGCAAAATCTACAGCCTGGACACTGCACCAAATTCAATACAAGCCCAAGGACTGCACTGGTTTCTTATGAAAGTAAAATGACCCATCATAAAACTTTTTTCTTTGAATTAGTTACTATCAAAATGCATTTGTATTGTCAGCTCATGACGTTTCATGTTCTGTGTGTATATACATATACATATTCGAAAAGGGCTTGTTGAGCTTTGAATTATGGTTAACAGATTTTACTGCGACATGCAGATACCATTACAAACTCCATCCAGGAGTGTTTTAAAACTAGAAGATGGGCTCTGAAATGAACTCCACACCTGCACTACTTGATCCATCTGGGCATCCTCACTGGTCTAGAATGCTTGCAGAATTGAGATTTTAACCAACTGTTTATTGCACCAACATAACTAGCAGCATTTATTACTCAGAAATTATCAAAAACTTCAGAGGGCTCTCTTGCATTAATTTTGTAAGGCATGCAGGAGACATACAGAATTTTATTTTCACTATTCGTGATCCCCGAATCAAGAAAGTAGGCCTGGTAGCTATGCATTGAGCACAAGGTGAAAAGGGTAAAATCCACCCAAAATGGAATCAGAGAACCAACTGGGCTGGAAAAGACTTCTGATATCATGGAGTCCAACCTATGACTGAACACCACCATGTCAACCAGAGCACGGTACCAAGTGCCACGTCCAGGCCCTTCCTCAAACATCTCCAGGTCGGTGACTCCACCACCTCCCAGGCAGCCCATTACAGTATCTAATCCCCCTTTCTGTGAAGAAATCCCTCCTAACGCCCAGTCTAAAACCTCTTAAGACTACGTCCACTCGTCCTGAAAAACAAACAAAAGAGGCAGCAGGGGAACCGGAAAGCAAACTTTAACTAAACGTTTTCTCACAACCGAAGCCTTGTGCAAAGCACGGACACGCCGAGCAGCCCCGCACCCCCACCACGCCAGGTGCACACCCGTGTGCGGGGTATTTCAGAGTAGCCCCCGCCGCCCCCTTGTGCCCTGGGGCACCACCCACCGCAGGCCCCAGCGCCGGGCCCTGCCCTGATCCACCTCCTCCTGAGACGGAGGGGAGAAACACCCTCGGCTGCGGATCGGACACGCTGTTTCACCACCGGACCAGGGCCGGGCGGGCGCCGGCGGGGTCGCGCTGTCGGTACCTTTCAGAGCCAGCAAGTGCTCCTGCTTGGACTGATTGACGTCCATGGCTTCCACCCGCACTATGGCGGGGAGAGCTGGGCGGAGCCGCGCTGGCTGCGGCGACCGCCACTACAGCACCCAGGGCTCCCCGGGCGGCCCGGGCCGCAGCGCCTCCTCCTCCGCCCGTCGGCACGGACGTCCCGCAGGACCATGGGAGTCGTAGTTCTGTAGTTCTGCAGGGCGGTGCCTGAGGGGCTCCCTGCTCCTTCCTGCGGAGACGCTGTGCTCCTCCCTCCCCGAGATGGCGGCCCTCCTTGTAAACAAGCCCGGGGCCGGGCCGGACGGCAGCCGCGGGCCCGGCGGTGGCGGTGGTAGCGGGCGCGGCCCGGCGGGCGCTGCAGTGAAGGTAAGGCGGCGGCTCAGCTTGACTGGGCTCCTGCGGCGGGGCGGGCGGTGCCGGCCGAGGAGGGGGAGCGAGGGATCTGCGGTACAGGAGGCGTACCCTGGAGCGGCAGGGCTTAGGGGTTGTCCGGTGTTGGGTTTCCTTTTTTTTTTTTTTTTTTTCCCCTTAGTGACCATCAGTTTTCCTTTTAGCTAACGGTTTAAGATGTTCCGGCCCGCAGCTGTTTGTTCCCACTGCCTTGGTGCTGCGTTTGTAGCTTAAGTGTCTTAACTTGATGTGACTGACTTTATGTGTACCAGCTGCGAAGGGAAGCTCTCCGCCGGCCAGCACTCCGCTTTGTCAGAGTCTTGCCCTCCGCTTCGTGGTCCTGCGACGGTGTTTCTCCTTACTTAGTTGTGCTGCTTGACCAGGCGGCTTCCCTTGGGGCACTGTGTTTAATGAAGTGGGCCAAGAAGTAGTCATGAGGTCATCAGGTGGGATGCTGAGGAGTTAAAACGTTCTGGTTGTATCTAATTATTTATTTACTTCAAAAATATCGTTAGTTGTGTGCAAAAAGCAAAATTAATGACTCACCTGACTCATGTGCTGTGATTGCGTGAACTTTTGTAAAATAAATTGTGACAAAAGCTTTTTTATCAGCTCGAAACCAAATACGGTCTTTTTTAACTTACAGGTTCTTGAGTGTGGAGTCTGTGAAGATGTATTTTCCTTGCAAGGTGACAAAGTTCCCCGACTGCTTTTGTGTGGCCATACTGTCTGCCATGACTGTCTTACCCGGCTTCCCCTTCATGGCAGAGCAGTTCGTTGTCCTTTTGATCGACAAGTTACTGAGCTAGGTAAGAAAATGTAAGTTTGAAGTTCCTGAAACCTGCCAGCCAAGGATATCTGGAAGATAATGGTAGATATAGGTTCTTAATGCTCCACTTAGTGCTAATAATTCCAAGCAGTGAATGTGCAGTATTCCTTTTTGTTCAGAGAAGCTCATAGCACCGCTAACCACTAGTAAAGTAGCTATCTTAGAAAGTATAGATTTTAACCTTTATTTTCTTGAATCTGGGCTTGCAAACTTTATACCTTGAAGTCTTTTTGTACACCTATATTGACAGAGGGCTATTCTTTTTTAAATTAGTGTGTAGGGGTTCCTGAACGAGTATTAGTTTCCTAAACACTAAAAACCATGCAATTAAGTGGGTAGCTTCTTTGACAAACATTTGTATGGAGTTATGATGAAGTGATACAGAGGGAAGTATCAATGATAACAAACTTTTTTACAGTGTTAATTACCTCTATACATGCAATAAATGACACTGGCAGGATATCAGTAGCAATTCCCCTACTGTCAGAGTGTCTGCAGCATTTGAAAGGGTAAGATACAGGTTTTTTCCAACAGTGGCAGTTTATTTTAAGGAAAAGATGACACACGCTTATAATTTCTTGAGAATAAGAATTACCTGGTCAGCATAGGGTTACAGAGAAGACAAGTTATGGGAAGAACTTGTAACAAGAAGAACTCGTTAATAGAACTGGCTCCAGCAGTTTTGAGTAGCACCAGGGGGAAAAAAACTGTTGGAAGTAGGCGAATCCTGAGAGAAGGACATCTCTAATCCGGTAATCCATGAAAAGAAATGTTTAAGGATCAAATTCACTCAAATAAGATTTTACTTTGCAGTAGGAGAATCTGCTAGATTGCAGACGAAACTGCAAAGAATATTAAGGCACTCTGCAGGATGTTTTCATGGAGATCGGAGTCAGGAGAAGAAGTGTCAGCCTCAAATGAAAGAGGGATTTGTTTTCTCAGCAGAGGGAGGTGGTAAAGTATGGGCATCACGAATGATCGCCAATCTAGTAGATGTGGTTAAAAGAGTAATAATTTGTTTAATTTCTTACGCGAGACTGTACAGCTGCACAAGATTTCTTAACTATGCTTTTGAGAGAGAACGTTAGAGCACAGGACTCAGCTGTGCTGTTATGTAACACTTCTGCCCAAGACCACTGTTTTTTATTATAATGGGAAACTTGTCGTTTCTTAGCTTTTATTGTACAATTTTTCCCAGGAATCTGAAGGTGTCCTATCATAAATCTCTTGTGTGTTTCACGTTTGGCGAAAATAAAGCTTTACAAAACCATCTACAGTTGATTTTTTTTTTCATCTTACTTAATACCAAGGAGTTTCTGATGAAAAACGATGAGATGTTATTAAACCTGTAAGTCTCCTACAGTTAGGAAGAAGAAAGAAAAGCTTCAGGATCTTTTTGCATCTAGGATAATAGACTTGCATCCTACTGGTTAATACTAGAAAGGATGATACACTGTGACCCATAGTTGCTCAGAAAATTATTAGATAGAAAATTGTAGCAAAACATCTTGAAAATAAAAATATTTTTGTGAGTAAAAATGTTCTACCTGGTGACCTGAGGCATGAAGAGGTCATAGCCACTTTTAGCCTTACCATGTCTGTAAGAAGAGTCCTGAGAAATATAACTGCCTCTAGGATGTAAAAATGCGTTTTTTGTGGAGCGCAGCTCGTCATGGCTCCTCTTTGAGATGTACATGCATTTGTGACCTTGCTTGAATAATCACATAGTTACTGCTGTTGGTTAAATTTGCTGCACTTGTAGTTCTCCATTGCCCTGTGAGTTCAGGAGTGGAGCTGGGAGGAACAGCTCTGGGACCAGGAGAACTCATCCTTCCCTCCCCTGTGCTTGAGGGCATGTGAGAAAGCGCATGTCCACCTAGCTGCTATTCTACTACCATTTAATGAATTTAATGAAATAATGTTCTCTAGTCTCAGAGAGGTGTTTAGTATCTAAATTATAGGATCACTGCCAAGAGAAAGTTTTGTTGAAAGAAGAGCTATAAAATCAGGATGTAAGATTACCTGTGTTGAACACAGTTCCTTAATCAGTGACTGTGGATTTTATGGATACTTTTAGTTGGTCATTGACTATACTTGCTTCTTTTCCTTTGATCTTTTTACTAGAACACTTAATACTATATTCATCCAAGTTTTCCCAAGGAATCTTGGGAACTTTTTGAAAGAAATACTGAGGGATCTGTATATGGATATATGTAGCTGTATTTTTTCTGAGTTGGACTCTTGGTTTAAATTGACCTGTATATATAACTATATGGGAAGGCAAGGTTAGAAGTACTTTTTCAATCAGGATTTCTGGAAATATGTGATCTGCAGCTGAAAATTGACATGTTGTTTACATGCTTAGCAAAATACTCTAATAGTTCATAAAACCTTGTTATAAGATAAAACATTTAGTAATGTTTTTTCTCAGGTCTCAGGTAGGACCAAAGCCTGCCTAAAGGATACTGCTTTGCAGAGTAGACTAAAGATTGATTTTTGTTGTTTTCTTTGAGAATTCTTTAATGAAGTTGCCTGTGATTAATCTTCTAGTGGAGAATTTTAAATGAGGATGTACATGCTGAAGGTATGTGAACTGTCTGTCTAGTGGTTGTCTTCAGTTGAATTAACATTTTCTAACCAAAAAGGTGCAATGGAGAAGCTTTTTCAATTTTTGAAATTTTGAAACCATGTATTCTAGAGATTATATAGGGGAAAAATCCAATAAATGATCTTTGTAGAGAAAGAGGCTCCTCTCAAAGCCTTTTTCTTAAAGCATGTTGATTTGGGACAGGAGGCAAATAATTTCTTGCGAGCTGCTTTCTCTCTTCCTGTGTTGGGTTAGTGGTTCTTTGGTTGGTATTTTGGGTTTTGTTTTTTTGGTGGTTTTTTTGGTTGGTTGGTTGGTTTTTGGGTTGGTTTGTTTGTTTGTTTTTGTTTGGTTGGTTTGGTTTTTTATGGTGTTTTGGTTTTTTTTCAATTAATACATGGACCAGGGAATTTTTAGGAAGGTTGTACTTATATTACAGCTTTAGAGTCTTTATGCACCATTACTACAAAGCTGAAGCTATTTTCTATCGTTAAAACGTGTTCAACAGAGATATGCAGATGTGCTGGTTTAAAAGTTAACCAGCAGGGGAAATGAACTCAACTCAAAAGAGAGATTATAAATCAGAATAACAATTTAATAAAATAATACAACAAGCACAGCCACACAGACAAATAATTGGTCGCAACCCACAAAACCCAAATGTACAACCCAGCACCCCGGGGCACAAACAAAGCGGTGCTCCCTGGGCCCCCCCCCCGAGTCCAAAGTGAAGGGAAGGGGGAAAAACCTGCTGGTGGGAGAGCTGCTGCAGTCCGGCCAAAAGTGGCGACTGCAGCCCAGCTGAGGGTGGTGGTCTCAGTCTGGCTGAGAGCGGTGAGCTGCAGTCCTCCTCTGGATCCCACGAGTGGTGGTAAGGTTCCGAAACTCCAGGTTTATATATTCTCAGGCAGGAATGCTCAGTCCTTCCCTCAGAGCGGGGAATTCCATAAAAGGGTATGAGGACAGGAACATCCCCCCACCTCGCATGCCTCTGCTGACAACAGTTTCTGGGAAATGGCATGGAAGGCTATAGAATACACAGTTTTGGGCTACACCCATCCAGTGATGAATTGGTCCCAGCTGTTCTAACTAGGACAGCAGATTATGGCATCCTTCATGGAATCCATCTTATTGGTATTGTTTACATTTATACAGTCCTTTGCTAGTGTTTGAGTGCTAAGATAAAACTTCAACATACTGTGCAAGAAAATGCAGTTATAGCATTCTTTCAAATCTCTTCAGACATTTGGGCAAAAGTTGCTCCTTTATTCCGTGCCTTAT